TTCAAAATTTGCTCCTGAAAGGAAAATAAAGATAACGGGAAGAGGGTGAGGTTACACTCAATGAGGTACCAAAATAATAGCAGTCAAATCTTGACATTTCACGTTTAACTAATCAGGTATACATGTCAGATATAAAGTAAAACAGTTAGACACAATGATTCAAATAGGAAGGATACAGGTGACTCTCAGGAGCCAAATTTTCATGGCAGAACTTGATCCAAACCCGTTGACTCTCCGTCAACGTATATAAAACCAACATGTCCGTAGACCCCACTTTACATCAAATTCCGTCCACCAAACATACCCCTTACCAGGCCCGAACACCTCAACAGAAACAGAAGTGGTAATATTCGAGTATACCGGAATCAAGAGTTTCACTACCCAAAGATACCTAGAAACAGACTGCCGGGTTTGTTATCTAATCGACCAACCCCTTGCCGGCCCGACTCGAGTAACTAGCCACAGGTGTTGAGCTCAGAGGTCACAGAAAGGTCGTTGGATACCAGCAGTCTCCAAACGACGTCCAAACAGACTCAGATACAGATAACAGATTACGCACAGTAAATAGGCATACAGACAAACAAGAGAACGAGTGTGATAAAGTACACCCTCGTCTCAAACAGAATAAACAGATAGTACAGTCATTCAAATCACAGATTTCAAGTGCAGAAACCAAGTTAAGCAACAAATGAGGGGAGTGGTACACTCACCAGTTCCAGTACAGATACTTCAAAAGTTTTCACCCAAAGTGGATTTAATCGCCGTGAAACCCTAAGAATAACAAATGTAAAGTAGTTGAAATTTTTACATCCAAAATCGAGTAAACGGAATGCACAAGTGAGGCTCGATTACTAGTCGGGTGCCTCTCCAAGTTATATACGAGTACAAAAGAATAAAAATGTAATTTTTGAGCAAACGGATAACAGTTGGTACGAGAGTTACAAACAACCCCAAACCCCCTCATTCTACCACAATGCAACTCCAACTTAAAGAAATCAGACGGCCAAGAAAATTGGACAGCATTTTTCCCTAAATTTTCTTACTTTTTCAGCTATCATGGCTTCATTTTTCCTCAAATCAGCCCCAACGTCACACACAAAATAATCTCATTTCAATAGCCGTTCAATAGGCTCAATGTCGTACAAGTACAAAATCAAGTTAGGAAAATGTCCGAAAATGAAGTTTAAGCCATAAAACAAAAGACATATTTGACGTCGCTTAGCGTATCGGACACAACCGAAGCTACACTTATCGAATTGGTATGCAATTTATATCATTTCAAAGTTAAGATAAAGGGTTACAACTTTGATGAAGACCACTCAGTCCAGTTCGTAGTGTAACCAGATCAAAATTTTAAATTACAGAACCAGAATCCCACAATCAAGCTAGTTAACTGTACTATGCTTAAATGACAATAACTCAGGCTACCGAAGTCCGATTGAGGTGTTTTCAGGGCCGTTGAAAATCTAAGACATAGCACTACAACTTCTATGTTTTGGCCAAATGCTAATTCAGTACGGATTAGGGTGAACAGATGCGGTCAGATTGGTGAAATGTCAACACTGTTTACAGAATTCTACCTATGGCAGTCAGGGGTATTTTTATCTTTTCATATGTTACAGTGCTCGGATTGAGCTGAAATTTTACAGAAAGTTATAAAACATCATTTCCTACAACTTTCATGTTTTAATCTAAGGCTGATTCGGCCTCTATCATGGCCGAACAGAATCGGGCAGAACAGGGTAAGAAGAAACCCTAAACTGGAATTTCCGCACAAATTCGGAAATTCTCCGCAAACAACCGCAATTAACGCACAAAGGCTCCATTTAACACAATTTAAAACTATTAATCCAAGGCCAACCATAACTATCATATGAAAACAGAAAAATCTCCCAAAAAAAAATCAGAAATTTATCTACTCAACTTTAATCCATGAAATCTTCTATAAAACAACCTATTTAGCCACCACAAGTTACTAATCTACCATTATTAGGAACAAAGAGTGAGTTTCCAAGGAAAATACCTTGACACCTCAAGAAATGTAGTAGCTTAGGGGTTCCTCCTTCAAAACAACTCCACCAACCACTTTAATCGTTCCTAGCAAAGAGTTTTTATGGAGTGATTTGAGATGTTAATGATTGGAACTCAAGATTTGGACAAGAATTGAAGTGGCAAAATGAAAGGTTTTCTCTCTTTTCTCTCTCAATGTGGTCGGCCAAGAAGGAAGAAGAAATTGGGAAATTTTGGTTAAATTTTTGGTATTTAGTAAAAGTAAGAAAGTTAGACAAGTCCAACTTCCAATGATTTTGTAACAAATGGCACCTTAGGGTTTCATTCTCATCCTTTGTCTACCAATGGTAATTTATCTAGTTAACATCTAATTGTATTCTAATACGTTGTAAAATAATATCACTTGATACAAAACTCCAACAAGTTGTCAAAAATATATCGCATTTATCACACTAGCGGGTCCCACGTCAATAATACACTTCAAACTTCTCATGAACTAATTTAAACTGGGAAAATGATTTAAAAACTCTATTCACTTATAAAATCTCTGAAAAATCGAAATAGTAGGGTATAATGAAGAAAAATACACGCGAGGAAATAAAATAAATAAGATAAAATTAGAAAAATTTATGGGTCCTCACAATAGATACCAATGAAATATTGGGGTTTTTGTCCTTTTTTTTTTGTTGAAACAATGAACTGTTGTCGTTGAAGGATACTATGTTTTTATCTCTTATTATGGTTTTACAAAAGTCTTAATTAGAGTGAAATTCATATTTGATGCAAGCCAGCAGGAAATGTGTTGGATTCACAGACGAAAACATCTCTTATTATGGTCTTGATGAGTCTTAATTGGAGTGAAACTTGTATCTGATGCATGCCAATGAGAAACGTGTTGAGTTTAAAGATAGAAACGTGGTGGTGATTTGACAGACATGCACACTAATGACTTAAAATGGTGTTGAACATGCATATATTAATGAGTTATTTCAATTGTAAAGGATAATGTTTACATGATGAAATGATTTTGAAAAGTAACTAAATATCAGTAGTACATTCGGTTAGTGCTGTTATTCGAATCGGGCAGCTCGCGAGCCGGGCTCGACCCGGCTCGTTAAGGCTCGAACTCGGCTCGTTTATTGGAATAAACGAGCCGAGTTCGAGCCTAAAGACTGCTCGTTAATTAAACGAGCCGAGCCGAGCTCGGCTCGCGGGCTACCCGAAAGGCTCGAATTTGAGGGATAAAAATGTCAATTCATTAATTATGGCTATTTCAGTAAAATACTTCCAGTTTTCCAGAGTCAAACTCCCGAATCCCTAATCCTTCATTCGCTCATTCTTCTTCCGCCTTCACCTCTGGGCTTTTGCCTTCTTTTCGGCTCTGCTCTAATCTCTTCCGTCCAGACTTTGGCCCGTCAGGCGTCAACCCTAAATCACCATTCACCCTTCGGTAATAGCTCTAGCAAGGAGCAGCAGCAATCGCTCTTCGGAGGAGCTGACTTGTCGCACCAGCCCACCGCCTTGGTTGCGCAAACACCAGCCGCCACCTGGTGAACCCATGTATTTTTCTGTACTTGATTTCTGATTTTGGAGTTACGTACATATAGAGCTGAGATCCAAAAAAAAAAAATTAAGGTGCATTATCTTCTTCCATTTGGTAATTAGGATTTAGGGATTTTGGTATTTTGCTAAAATATTGTGCTTTTGAGGGGTTATTGGGATGTGGGTTTTGTCTGATACTCTCTATATTCGTGTGGAAGCTGACAAATGATGCAATGGGCTTCTGTGCGGACTTTTTAGATTGTGAAGACAGGTAGTATTTTGAAGATTTGACAAAACCTTTCCATGGAGGGGCTGCTAAAGAAACCAAAAAGAAACTTTGAAAATGACACGAAAAAATATATGCAGCCTATAGATAGTGGATGTTGACTAGTTTATGTTTGACTGGTTGAATCTTTTAAAAAATTTTGTCCATTACAGTACATTAGTTTCTTTGTTAATCAGTTTATCCAATTTTTCATAAACTCTTATTTCTACCACATGACCAACTAGATGAATTGATTGCTTAATCAGTTTATGTAGATTGCTTGGTGTCAAGTGGATTTGGCCTTCAATATGAGCAGTAATTATTTTTTCATATTGTAATAGATAATTGAAATTATTGGAATTTTTTTATTTATAATGAAATTTGACATGCAACCTTTGATTTATAATTATGCCTTCAATTTTTTTCTTAATATATAGGTATGTACAGCCCTCTTAATTCCCACCAAGGTTCATCTTCAAGTCCTGTTATGGAGCAATTAAATGAAGTAGTAGATCAAGAACTGGATATTGAAGAAAATCCGGATGAGATGACTGAAGATGAGTTAGAAATAATAGAAGAACATGACAATGAAGGAGGAGGAGTAGGAGAGCAAAAAGGTGATGGCGGAAATGAAGAACCAGCAATGCCCTTTGAGAAAAAGCAAAGGAAAAAGAAATCAACGGTGTGGGACGATATGAAAATTGTGAAGTTAGACAATGGAATAGAAAAGGTGCAATGCAATCATTGTAAGGAGTTATTTGCCAAGAGTACAACTGGAGCTACATCTCAACACAAGCATCATCTAAAAGCATGTTTACAAAAGAATATGGCAATGGGAGAGCAAAATAGGATGAAACAGCAAGTGTTGTCTTTTACCGAAGGGCCATCCGATGGAATTACTTCGATCACAAATTTTTCATATGACCATGCCAAGGTACGGGAGCTTGCTTCTCATATGGTGCTTGCACATGAATACGCATTTTCTATGATGGATCATGTTGTATTCAATAAATTTATGAAAGCTGTGTCCCCATTTTATAAAAAGATTACCCGGCAAACTGTCAAAGAGGATTGCATTTCTACTTATCAACTGGAAAAAATAAAGCTGAAATCTGTATTAAAGAGTGCTAGTCGAGTTAGCATAACTACAGATTTATGAAAATCTGGTCAAAAAATTCAATATATGGTTGTAACAGGGCATTTTGTTGATTTTGATTGGGTGTTACAAAAACGTGTGTTGAATTTTTGTAATGTGCCACCTCCTCATACGGGAGTAATTATTGCTGATGCTTTGAGTAAATGTTTTATTGATTGGGGGATCGAGAATAAAATTTCCAGCATCACGGTAGACAATGCTTCTTATAATGATGCTTGTGTTAGGAGACTTAGGGAGGATTTTTCTCTAAGAAAGAGGTTAAGTATTGCTGGAAAAATTTTTCATGTGAGGTGTTGTGCACATATACTTAATCTTTTAGTGCAAGATGGCCTCAATCAACTAGGTAATGTGATTGATACTGTTAGAGAGGGGATCAAGTACTTGAACAACTCTGAGGGTCGCCTAAATCAATTTGCCAAAATTGCAAAACAGCTACAGTTGCCCTCTAGGAAATTGATTCTAGATTGTCCAACTAGATGGAATAGCACATATCTCATGTTGGCTTCGGCTTTGGAGTTCAAGGACGTTTTCCCTAGATATGAGGACATTGACCCTGGGTTTCACTATGTTCCAAGTGATTACGAGTGGTTGCAAGTAGTAGAAGTGTGCCGATTTTTGGGTATTTTTCATGAGATCACTAACATGATTTCTGGATCCGACTATCCAACTTCTAACATCTTTCTTGTGGAGCTTTATAGGATTAAAGAGCTTTTAAATGAAAAAGCTCTTGATATTTCTGATCAAATTTGGGCCATGGCTTTGAGCATGTCAGCAAAATTTGACAAATATTGGGGAGAAACCAATGTGGTGCTTTCGTTAGGTGCTATTGTTGATCCAATGTACAAAATGGTACTCATTTATCATGCTTTTCCGATTATTTATAGTGAGGAAGAAGCTGCTGTGAAAATTGATGAAATTAAACAGCTTCTTTATGAGCTTTACAATGAATATGTTGATACTCACTTCTCCTCCCATGTCGGGGAACCACCGAGGCAGTCGGTAAAGCGTAAACATAAGGAAGTGAGTAGTTCTTCGACTCAATCTCAGGGGAATGTTAAGAAATTTGGACTTCCAATTCTTACTGGCAAGGAAAAATTTCAAATGCATGTTAGTGAAATTGACAAGGCGCCACCTGAAAAATCAGATTTAGATATTTATTTAGAAGAAGGTAGGTATGCTTGTGACGCATCTGCTAATCTGGATGTCTTGGGGTGGTGGAAAGGAGAAAGATGGAGGTTTCTAATATTGTCAAGGATGGCTAGTGACTTACTTTCTATTCCAGTTACAACTGTGGCTTCTGAATCTACCTTCAGTACTGGGGGAAGAGTAATTGATGATCGGCGAGCTTCTATGTCTGTTGAGACAGTGCAAATGCTACTTTGCGGTAGTAATTGGATTCGCAATCTTCATGGAATAAAAACCAAGTCTCGTGTAAGTGTATTACACTTTCTAGTAGTAATATGTGGTTAATTGATTATTTTACTTCATCTTTTATCTCTATAACTCTTATTTTTAGAGAATATCATGACTTTGAGTCTTTGACATTTTTATTTTGTAGGATCAATCTGATGTTGCCGAGTCATCTACGTATCATGAAGTTGAGCTTCCTCAAAATTGAAAGAATGCTAAATTTTAGAAATTGCTGCTGCTGTCCTTTGGTATTCTACTTCATTTTTTTAGCTCAGTAGCTCTTATTTTTAGAAAATATCATGACTTTTACATTTTTATTCTGTAGGATCAATCGGATGTTGTCGAGACATTTTACGTGTCATGAAGTTGAGCTTTCTCAAAATGAAGGCTAAATTTTAGAAATTGCTACTGCTGTTGCTCTGTAGCTCTTATTGTTTGCTGTCTTTTAGACTTGATTATTGCTTTGATGTTTGTTGTAAGTGAACAAAATATGAGTACTTGACTACTTGTGAATTCTCATCAGCAGCCATGGCTGAGGTACTATGAATGCCAAAGTGAATTCTCATCAATTTAGAGGAGTAATTTTCACATTTCTAAGTTGCTGGACATTCATACCAAGTCAAACACGGCTCTTTTAACTGTTGGACTGATAGAAAATTACATATGCTCTCTTTTGGTGGGACTGCTTGATCTTTTCTCTTTTGCTAATTTGGATTAAATCCATAATCCCCACTCAGCAACAAATATGTATGCCAAATTTGCATCTTCTGAATGGTTACAGACTTGCAGTGAACAGATGGCTGCTATGGTAAATATTTCGAGCTCGAGCTTAACGAGCTCGACTCGATTGTGTTAAACGAGTCGAGCTCGAGCCGAGCTCGAGCTAAATATAGAGCTAACGAGCTCGAACTCGAGCTAGTTATTCGACTCGACAATGTTATCGAGCCAGCTTGAGCCAGCTCGAAATTCGTACAAATCGAGCTCGAACCACTACTACTCGGGCTCGGCTCGACTCGAATAACAGCTCTACATTCGGTAGGAGTTGAGAGGAATGTATTTTATGGACTAAAATAGAGAGGAAAAGTTAATGCAAACCATTTGTATCACTTTTTATAATTTCTATTTTACCCTCCAAATAGAGGGTAAAAATGTAAAACGCTATCATCTTATTTCTAAAATAAACAGACATAAATATATACATGGATCTTTTTTTTCCTTAATTAAACGTCCAACAAGGTAATAATTGCCAACAACTTTCTATAAAAAAAGGAGGGAAAAGTGCAATTCTTCCATTCATATTTTTTTTAAAAAAAGAAGCATCCAACAACTAGTGAATAGTAGCATATTGCATGTAAATTAAATATACTAGTGTTAATGGCATACTCAATGTGTGTGTCATTAAAAAATAATTAAAACGAAGTAAATTTATACAGATGTTGTCTTTTGTGTAAATCGAATTGCTATAAAATTTTTATTAAAGAAATTTGGTTTATATGAATGCAAAAAAGAATGCATATTGCAAGACATTTTTACTTTTTTGAAAAAAAAACTTTTTGGGGGTATTTTTGAAAAATTTTGTTGTAACAGGGTTTTTAGATTATATTTTGGGATATTTTCAGAAAATATTTTGAAATATTTAAGAGTAGAAGAGTTTTTAGAATATATTTTGAGATATTTTTTACAATTTTTAAAAAATTTAAACTAATTTTTAGATTACCTTTTAAAGTATTTTTTAAAAATTTTTATTATATTTAAAAAATTAATTTTTAAAAAACATTCCCACTAAACAGATTCGAATCGAAAATTTCACTACTGTTATTCCAAACACGCGGGGAGAGCCGGAGAGAGTTCTATTTTACTTCATTTATTCTTCAAAAATTTGGGCGGGAAACCAATTTTCCACTTCTTCTCTTCACGGGAACTGGAGACTGGAGTCACAGCGAAGAAAGAGAAATGTCGAAGTTCCAATACCCAACCCTCTCCCGGAGCGACGTCGTCGCCGTGCTTTCCGAGTATGAAATTGCCAAAATTTCTGACGCCGACCTCCGTCGCCCCAATTTCAACTTCCTCACCAGCCTTTACTCTGCTGTCCTCCTCTACATCGACATTCTCCCGTGAATGTCCTAACTGACTTATTTCTCCTCCTTTTAAATTCTTCCATATTATGTTTTTTTGGAAACCCTAACCCTACTATTTCTTTTTTTTTTTTTTAAATAAACCTACAGGGAAGAACCTGATCAGTTCGATTTTGAGACTCTGGAGCGGATCGACAACCCGGACCATCACCGGGATTCATTTCGAGTGTTGAATTTGTTGGATAAGATCAGAGAACTTTTGGCTTCTATTGATTGCCCTTTAAATTTCACTCTCTGCGACTTGCTTAAGCCTGACCCGGGTCGAACCGACTTCTTTCTCGGTGCCATGCTCAATTATATCGTTCACAGGTATCCCGCGAAATTAAAATTCTCCGTTAGTGCGTTTCTTTTAATTGTTTCTGAGCCTTTAAATTTAGATTTTTCTTCAAATTTTCGAGGATTAGAAATTGATTTTATTAGATGGTTAGAAGCTGCTTGCCTACCGTCCTCCCAGGAACGTTCATGCTATGATATACAATTTTGTAAATCTGGCAAATCTGTGACATAGTTTAATTATGAATGCTGCTTGTTCTTTTAGGTTGTCTATTTGGACTCCTATTTGATGCTTTTTTTGAGTGGTAAGAGGGACTTGTTCTGTTATTATGACTCTTAAAAGAGTGAGGTTAATGATATAAGCATCTAGCTTTGATGTTGAGCCTAATCTCGGAAACGATTGTTTTTAGCTTGTGGGGATGGGGCAAGGATGGATTTTGGACCTAAGTGTTGCTGTTATATAAGAGGAGCATGGAGTGGAGTTAGGATGGATTTGCACCCACCTGAAACTCTTATCCACTAGGAGCATTCATTCAGATGCTCGTTTTTGTTGTCAAATAACTAAATTTTTTGTATTACTTTGTTTTCGTTGTGTTTATTTTTTGTTGGTTTGGGATGTAGGAATGCAAAATTGGACTTATTGAGGCCTATTGTCGACGAGTTAACCCTTCTTGAAGAGCGAAAGCAAGAATTGGAGAGCAGAATGTCTCAGGTACAATCTGGAATGCAAATGTGTGGTCGTGAACATGATCTCATCTATGAAATTTACAGATTTATCTTCCTTTCAGTTGAATGAAGAGATATTCCAGTTCAACCAATTAAGAGAAAGTGAGATGCCACTTGTTCAAGAAATTGATGCTAAAGTTAAAGAGTTGCAGCAAACAATTCAAAGTCTGAACAATCACCAGGTGTCCTTGAAGGCTAATAGGATAAAAACGAAGGAGAAGGTTAAAGAAATGGAAGCGAAGGTAGTCTTCTTAAATTATTTGCATTAATCAAAGCAAATTTGTTCAATGGGGTCAGAAGTTATATGTATCGAAATCTTGACTGCTGAGTGCTATTCTGTGCAGAACTTGTAATAGAAATAATCAGTTGTCTCTATTCAGAAAGCATTTCCTTGGACCATATTGAGTGAATCTTGTTCTATTTTCAAAATCATGGTTATTATTATTATTTTTTAATTTATTCTTCTGATTTTTTTCTCCTAGAATGCAAATTATATGTAAAACCATCCCAGAAATGGAAATAGAATTAAAAACAAAAGGAAATATTTGGTTAAACTTTAAATCGCCTTTTCGAATCACTAAGATGGTCTTTCCTTCTTAGTTGTCGAAGAAAGTGACTTAAGGGTCTTTCTTGAGCTTGAATTAATTTTTGTTTTTTTCTTCTTCTTTACTGAATCTCAGGTTGAAAATGCTGATTTTGCCTTGGAGCAATGTAAGCTAGAAAATAAGAGTTTACTTGCTGAAATAGTTCAGTCACCAGACAAGCTTCAGGTACTAGCTGTATAATCTTTATGTGTACTATTGAACTCATTTTAGTATTATAATTTGTTCAGTTGCCCCTTGTCAGACAAGCATTGTGTATCATATAGGAAACATCTGTATCTCTATTTGGGGGCCGGGGGGGGGGAGAAGAGTATATCTTTAAGATTTACTTGGTTTGTCTTTCATATTGCTTCTTGTAAATTATCCACTGCTTTGACAGTTGGATTTTGTTCCTAAAGGATTTGGATCCTTTCTCATTGTTTTACAAGTTAGTAAGTTTGCAAGATATGCATCTCCTACTATTTAAAGTCCTTTCCCTTGAGTCTTTATTGGTTAGCTTGGCTTGCATATAACAACTGTATGTTTCCTTAATGTTTTCTTTTGATATGCATAATATTCTTTCTTTTCATAATCCAGAGGGCACTTGAGGAGAAAAAGTCACTTAAAGTTGAAGCAAAGAATGCTGAAAGAACAGCGATGCACTCCTTTCATGCCAAGGAAGCTGTTTCTGAGATTTATGCAAAGGTTGTTTTTGACACTGCTTCCTTACTGTCATTTTACAAATACTTATATTCATATAGGCCAGTCTGGTGTTCAATAATTGCTTATCAATGAAAATATGATCACATCTTGGTTAGTGCAAATTATACCTCACAATAGTTATGATATCCACTGCAAAGTATAGGAATTTGGTCGACTGATTTCACTAGATGATCCTTTCTTCTTCCATAGATTGGAGCACCTATTACATGAGCTAAGTAAGAAGCATCTGTATGCCAGAAATCTTGTAATTGTCTTTCCAAATGACCGTGCAATATGCCATCACAATCTTGTGCTAGCTTCCCATGGTTACATTAGTATATCAAGATGCTCAATTTGTAAAAAATACAGTGTTTCACGATTTTACCCCTCTTTTTTGTTTGTCTCTTGGTGACACTACTCTGTTTTATCGTTTTCTTGTGAATTAGGATGACCTTTGTTGAAATTGTTTACTTTCCCTTTTCTGTTTCTGCTTGAGGTTTTCTCTTTTTACTTTAGCATATTGAGTTGGGGGAATTAGTGAACCAAGATTTTGACCTTGAACTAGAAAATGGTAATAAATAATAAATAACTGCTCTGAATGAAGAAAAGGATCAGGTAAGTTGAAATTGAATGGGATCTGCAGTTCCAGCTATATGCTGGCAGTTTAAAGCTTTTTTTTTTGGCATAAAACTTTTGAGCGTCTAATCTTAATAATCCCTGTGTTCATGTTGGGTCGGTCTGACAGCTATGAGGGGGCATATAGTGATTGTACTGCATTTGCTTTGACGTTGTCCCTTATGGCAGTTTATGTACCTATCAAAAATAAAATAGAGACGGGTAAGAAACTGAACAAGAATAGATCTGGGGCAAAAATGAACAGTATGTAAGGAAATTAAGTGGTTTTATGTACTTCAAATAGGATCATCATTTAGGTGATTAAAGTTGGCCAAGATGATTATCAGAGAAACAATCATATGGCATGGGTAAATGGTATCTCTTTTTTCTTGTAACATCAGACCGATGCACTTTTTGCACCCAAAAAAAGAAATAATGCTGCTTGAAACTTCCAGTTGAAAGTGTTTGATAGGGTCTTTGCTTGTTTTTCACCATTTCAGGCTGGCATGAAGCTGTCCAAGCAGTTAGCTCGGATGAAAGTCCTGCAAGATCAGGTTGATTTATGATTGTTTCACCTTCTTTGCTTTGAGTAATCTATTAGGAAGTTTTGACTAAAAAGTTTAAAATGGTTCAGTAGCCTTTGAGGTAGTGTAGTTGTACCCGGAATATCACAGTTTCTTCTAGAAGTTCTATCTTATCGTGGTTTGATCTTTTTATATATCTTTATGACCTGGCGGTCCTAGCCCCCAGCTGGTGGATGGTGCTCAGCTTCTCAACCATATGTGGGTTGAATTTGCAAGATATAGGTATCTCGAGAAATACTTAAATGGGACAGAAACTCATGGATTTTAGATAGTTTGCTTTGTGCCACGTACCTTCTGGTACTTACTATCTGCACTTTCCTTTTGGAACTTTAGCTTAGGAATGATGTGCCTCTTGTGAGATAGTGGGAGTTTTCGTAATTTGACTTATTCTTTTGTGCCAATCTTCGAAGTAGATATGAGGCTTGTTAGATTTATTAGGAAGCTTTTTTCTTGAACTGTCCTTGCATAAAGCCTTATTATTCCCCAAAGGCAACAAAAAGCTGACTCTGGAAGTTCTTGGTAGGTGAACTCGGCCAAATCTATTGAAAAGGATGTTAAACTTCTCAAAGTTAAACTGAGTGACCAAGGAGTATTGGATAAGTCGCTTGATGCTAAATTGGTTGACCTGCAAGCAAAAGGTTGCTTCAATTCTGTTTGCCATTAATTGGCTTCGTTCTACTTTACTCGAAACTCAGTATGATGAACATGTCTTCTGTTCAGTGGACCAACTGGATAAAGTAAAGTGGCAACTAGAGCAGGAAAGAGGTCAGACCTTTGAGCAGGCTACTAAAGAACTAAAGAATGTGAAGATGGAAGTGGAAGCAAACAGGAGTGCTCTACAAACTCGTCAAAAGCAGGTGGAAGCTGTTGTCATGGAGGTACTGTTTACAGTTTTAGTTCTACTGTTAACTCTTGCACGAGTGGTGGTTCTGGTTTTAAGCCTTCTCCTTCATTTATCAGGCAGATAGTATAGGTGAAAGTATTAACTCAGTCAAGGAGGCTGGAGCAGCCAAGATGCACGAAATGGGTCTAGTATCTGAAGCTATAATGAAACAGGTACAATTGTCTCAATGTCTTACGACTGATTGGAAAGGCCGGTAAGAAATGATCTAACATAAGCATATTTTGATAAGCTATTCTATAAACTCTTCTACCATGGTTGAGAAAGACATGGGTATTGACATATTTAGAACTGGTTATGCATCATCCTCGGATTGTCATGTGTGTATTCTTTATTCAGGCAATGAATATTGCAAATTGCAATGCTTAGTCTGCATTTTAATCACAAGCTGAATAGGTTTTCAGTGCTTTAATAATGAAACTGGCTTTACTTCAAAATTATTTCTTCCTAATGTTTTCCAAGGTTGCAGATATTGCATGGACTACACTGCACATTATTCTTTGACTAGTGAATTTGTTATTTTGATAAGGGGAAGCATTTAATAGAATGGAAAGACACTTAGGATCTTATCTGGCGGCTGTTTGCTACTAATTGCTAGCGAATGGTGCCTTTTGACTCTTTTATTACTTCCTAAGACTAATACATTACCAATTTGCCTGCAGTTTTACGAGTATTCAGATTCTATAAGGGACTCGCTGCCAGGGATTGAAATTGAAGTGGACATGGTAAATATTCAGGCTGGGAACTGATGAAGTCTGGCGTATCTTGTGTAGCTGATCTTGCATTATCTGCGATCTACACAGCACAATGGATGCAGTGATCGGCATGCTTTGAAATTGCATAGTTTGTGCTGGCCTGCTAATTGTAAAAAAGAGTTGCATGTGTGTGCCGCTACTTTTTGCTTCTTGGGAATGATATATATAGAATAATAGAAACGTTCTCTTAGGGTGGAATCTGTGAAGCGCACTTGTGCATTTTGAGATGCAACGCCAGTACAGACATAAGTTAACGATCATGTGGGGAAGGCTCTATGCCAAGAGGCTTTGTTGCACTACTGTCCACTGTAATGATTGTCATGTAACAAGTAGCAGGCGGCTGTTTATGGTTCAGGTAACTAATTAGGTGAGTTGGTTATCAGGTCAAGTATAAGGTACAGGTTTGGCTGTAGATTAGGGAGGGAGTTTAAACTTTAAGCCTCTATACTTGCCTTAAAATCCATAGGTGTGTAGTAGTGCATTCATTTGATTTAGAGGTAAGAACCATTCCCTTTAAACCCCTTAGTCCAGTTTATGGTTCAGGTGAACGGTAGGTAGATGTGTATTGCAACGGAGATTTCTTCGCATGAAACTTCCCCTAATTTGGTCCTAGGCAAGTTTAAGTTTTTGAATTGGAACTAAACCAAAACAATTTCACTTGTACGATTGTGAAATGCTCAACTATTAGGCGTTTTTTTTATTATTTTCAACCAGAAAAGGTGTTCCTCGACATATGTTTGACTCCTGTTAAATTTAGTTAAGTAGTGTAGGAACCTTCCATGAGTTTTATGTTGTAGAAACGTTCTTTATACCAGTACCTTTAATCCTAGGTTAGAGTAACTTTTAAAATATAATCTAGACTAGCCGAAGGCCCTAAACCACAACAAATGAGACGGTTTTTAATTGTCTGTGGCAGATCATGTTACATTAGTTTAAATCAAGGGATAGTTTCTGGTGATAGCAGCTACTTCCCTTGAGGTTACAGAAATCTCTCTTGTCAAGTATGTTTTGAGAACAATTGGTGATATAAGCACAACTTGATAAAACATATTTATTTCTGCTTATAAGCAAACAAAAAACCAATTCCGTTGCGTATTCCTGAAGAATAAGGCACTTTTTGAGTATTTCTACTACATGTGCTAACGTGTTAGTGCTGCAAAAAACTCCATGATCAACAAGTTGGGACTTGGGAGATTCAGAAGTCCATGAAATGCATCCCATCAACGGCAGCTTGTCAAAGAGGAGGAGAAGCAGCAGCAGCAATGTTGTTGAACAATCTACTGCAGCCACTCCTCCGCAAGTACCCGTCATCTCAATTCCAGCTCTCATTCTACGCCCGAGTTTTCCAGTTCTTAACAGGCAAAAACTACCTCAGACTAGGCCAACAATTACACGCCCACATGGCCCTCCGCGGCCTATACCCCAATGCATTTCTCGCTGCCAAGATGGTTGCAATGTACGCCAGCTGCGGCGATATCAACTCCGCTGTGAAATTATTCAGCGCCGTTGAATACCCGTCTACTCTTCTATTCAATGCAATTATTCGCGCGTTTACTTTATACGGAGAGTCCCATACGACTATCCTGATTTATAGTCAAATGCATTCTCTTGGTTTGCGCGGGGACTATTTCACTTTCCCATTTGTGTTGAAGTCTTGCGCGGATTCATTGTGTTTTGAGCTGGGAAAGTGCGTTCATGGGCTGAGTTTGAGGAGTGGTTTAAATTTTGATATCTATGTAGGGACTTCCTTGATTGATATGTATGTCAAATGTGGTGCACTCGATGTTGCGCGGACGATGTTTGACGAAATGCCTGTCAGAGATACGTCTTCTTGGAATGCATTGATTGCTGGGTATATGAAAGATGGATTCGTGAATTCTGCTGAGGGGTTGTTTCGGGCTATGCCCAATAGGAGTATCGTGTCTTGGACTGCTATGATTTCGGGGTACACCCAGAATGGATTTGCGGACAAGGCACTGGGATTATTTGACGAGATGATAAGTTGGGACACAGATGTGGTGAAGCCCAATTGGGTGACGATAATAAGTGTTTTACCTGCGTGTGCACATTCAGCTGCGCTTGAGCGCGGGAGACAGATTCATCAATATGCCAGGGAAAGGGGTTTTGACTCCAATACATCAGTAATGACGGCTCTTATGGCCATGTACTCAAAATGTGGCAGCTTGGCTGATGCTCGCGTATGTTTTGGTCGGTTGAGGCCAAATGAGAGGAATTTAGTAGCATGGAACACTATGATCACTGCTTATGCATCTCATGGATGTGGCAAGGAGGCGGTTTCCGCGTTCGAGCAAATGATTGGAGCTGGGGTTCAACCTGATGCAATTACATTTACGGGGCTGTTATCAGGGTGTAGCCATTCTGGCCTTGTGGATGCTGGATTGAAATATTTCAACTGTATGAGATCAATGTTCTTGGTTGACCCAACACTCGAGCATTATGCTTGTGTTGTAGACCTTCTGGGCCGTGCTGGACGATTGGTGGAAGCTTATAATCTCATCTCTCAAATGCCAATGCAAGCTGGACCAAGTGTCTGGGGTTCCTTACTTGCTGCTAGTCATAAACACAGAAATTTAGAGATTGCAGAACTAGCAGCTAAAAAGTTGTTTGTCTTGGAGCCTGCTAATGCTGGGAATTATGTCATGCTTTCAAACATGTATGCAAAGGCTGATATGTGGGAAGAAGTGAACAGTTTAAGAACTCTATTCAAGTCGAAGGGTGTGAAGAAGACTCCTGGGTGTAGTTGGACTGAAGTGAACGGAAAAGCACATTTATTTCGTTGTGGTGATACGTCTCACCTTCAGACAAAGGAAATTTACTCCTTGTTGGAGGAGCTACCAGAGAAGATCAAGGCAGCTGGTTACATGCCAGACACTAGTTTTGCCCTGCATGATGTTTCTGAAGAGGAGAAAGAACATTATCTCACTACACACAGCGAGAAGCTGGCTGTTGCATTTGGGCTTCTTAGCACAAGCCCTGATACTGTCATTCGTGTCACAAAGAACCTTAGAATTTGTGGAGACTGTCACACAGTCATCAAATTCATTTCTAAAATATATAGACGTGAAGTCATTGTAAGGGATGTTAATCGGTTTCATCATTTTAAAGTTGGATCTTGCTCATGTGGTGATTATTGGTAAATGCAGATATAGTTGCAGTTTTCAGTTCACTATAAGTTTTCTCAGAAGCTGGATATTCGCAGGTCCTCTTTTGGAGCTTTTTGCAAGGAAGCTGCAATGTTGCATCTGGATTGATATTAGCTGCTACGAAGCAGAGAAATTCGTGGTTTTAAGATATTGAAACAGTATGGGAGACTTATTGCACTAGTGTTCAAGATGAATCATAAAGCTGAAAACTTTAGGGGGTAGAATGGCATCTATTTCCAGATTCTTCTACTTCATGCTTGCAGGCCATAAGAATGTCTATCCTGGACTGTAAAAACATCATCTTTGGTATGTAATGGTTCACTCGCAAGTTCAATAGCATGATGACCTCTAGAGATGATACTTATAAGGAAGGTCATTGTCTTCATCATTCTAAAGATGGTTTTTATTTATTTGGACACGACAATTCCTCGTGATCAGATGAATCATCTTGTGGATTGCAACTGGAGGAGGTATCAGCTTTCAAACTCGTGGTGATGTACTTTGTCCTTTGGGCAGACTATCCAGATTCTAAGTACAAGGGCAATTCAAAGAATAAGTGTTGGAAGAGTGAAGAATTTGATCAGCTGACTGGTGATTCCTGCTTCGAGAGCTTCAGCTGTGTGACTGTGGTTCATGCCATACCTGTAAGTTTGCGAATTGCTTTCTGTCAAATAAATACATATCATGACGAGTTTATGGTGTGATATCTTGAATTTTCTGCTTCTTACTTCATCTAGTTTGAATAAGGATGATAATGGGATTATATAACTTAGGGTCATTTACCAGGATTTTGGTATTTTATTGCAATTTTAATAAGTGGTTCTATTCCTACTCCTATAATAGGAAAATTGACTTTATGTAAAGTTATGTTCTTTATCATTGAAACTTTTTGTTTCTGCTTATCAACTTCCATATGTTTTAGTATGCAATTTGGTTCTTTTGGGACTTGCTTTCACAGTACTGGCTCACTTCTAGCCCTTCAATTGTTACACCCTGTTACAGTTCTGAGGTATATCGATGATTGTAGGTTGTCAAAATTGCAGACTGGGGAAACCTGGAGCCTGGGATGTAGTTTCCATTTACATCCGTTTGTGCCTTGAGTCTTAGCTTCAACTTTGTAAACCGGTTCATCTGACAAGCCTACAGCCTAGTTAGTGATTTGAAGTGTAAATGTTTGTTTTGCCAATTAGAATATATTACAATTCGTGAAAAGAGATGCTAATGTAGTAGCTCATTGATTAGGTAAATTTGCCAAGAACTATGAGATGTTAGAGTGGGATCATGTTATTAAAGATTGTGTACGTTCTGCTCTAATCAGAGATGTTGCAAGTTTGAAGCAATCCAATGCAAGTATTTTTCTGTCCCAAAAAAAAAAAGAACTTATTGCAGTCAAAATATGCAGTCGCCACTTATGTTCGACCAAGTGTTTAGCTTGCATTGCTATTTATATACTTTGTGACATGAAGCTTCGGTCTAAGCAGCTGAATTTGAAGTTGCATTTACTCTTTTTTTTTTTGGTGAAGTATATTTCATTCATAAATTGAAAGCCAATATAAATGAGAATGTCAGAACACTGAATTTGCAGTACGACAAGAAACACGGGAAGGGATAGCACCTAGTTTTATTGGCCGAGAAAAACCAAAATAGTTTGCCAGTTAATCAATTGTCCTTTTTCAAAATCTAGGACTGCAACTGCAAGACAATTTGGTGACTTAAGCCACTTGGAAACTTTCTAATCTGCTGTCAGTACTGACTCGGGAATGTATAAGAAACGTTATGGTGAGCAATTATGGTGATTCATGTATGCTGATGCAGGAAAATCCATGTGTCTGTTGCATATACAACATGGTCTACAACCAAGTCTATACAAGCATTTGCCTGTCAACTATTTTAAAATAATAATGATACTAATAATATTTGAACAGCAATCTAACAAGAATGTAAGGCACAGGCTCGTGTCTAAAAACATGAAACACTAGCAATCTAGCAAGAATGTAAGGCACGGATTCATGTCTAGAAACATGAAACGCTTGCGTTAACACAAGACTTGGGAATTAGTATTTGCACTCCCATTTTAGCCTCTGGCACTCCAATTCACTCAATAAATAATATGCCTCCAAGGAATGTTAGAGGCTAATTGGAGAGTGCAAATATCACTTCTCATGAACATATATGTCCCCTTTTAGATAAGTCAATTGGTTAGTGGAACTCGTTAATGAAATTTGAACAGTTCCATTTAAAGTACAAATCCGGAAAAACATATAGTTAACACCGTGACTCCTCAACCGGAACGTTTGTATAAGTACAGGAATAATTCTCCACCTTTTCGCCATTTCCTTTAACCTTGGTCCAGGATATTCGCCATGTCTGGAACAAACTTCGTCTGCAGCAAAAAGGGAATGGATGCATAACAGTGTTAAAAAAAGGGAATTTTTGTTTAGAGTTCAAGGGAAAAATGGATTCAGACACGAAAAACACATCATAATGTATCCTTTTAAAAAGAACACCAACTCCTAACCAAGCAAGGGATTATTAAAATGTATCGTTGTGAAGGGTCATATTTCAGGCAGAAATCCAATACTACCTCTCTGTTTCAATAACCCTCTTCATTAGCATTAGAGTCAAGAAGACAGGGACCATAGCTGCAAATAAATGCTTAAGAGTATGCCCGCTCACAATGTGATGAGTCCATTTGTAAATTGGTTTATCAGCTGCTTCTTCAACCTTAGCTATAACATAAAACCCTGTGTATTGTGCAGCAACGTCCTAAGAAGACAGTATAGAATGGCAACTAAAAGTAGTACAAAAAAGAAACATCTGAATCAAGAATGTTACAAACCTGCAGCCCATAACCAATACAAAGAATGTGTATACATTGGAGGCAACAGGATAGTCATCAAAGGAATGGCTATGCAAGGAACAAACTGGACCAATGCATATGGACGCAGATCATCAAAAAACCTAAGACAGAAATGTACGTACAGTTAGACCACAATTCAAACTCAAAAAAGTTCAAGACATAATTTCAGTTGAAATGCTGCTTCCACTTCAGTTATCTACAGCCGTGAGAAAATTTTAGAGTCTAAAATGCTTACGCAAAAAAATAAAAGGAAAAAGAAGATGGACACCTCTCCTAATGCTACCATAGGCAAATTATCCAAGACTACATGTAAACAGAAATAACTCATAAATGCAGATTCAATCATTACTGCCTATTAGCTGTAATAATCGATTAGTAAGACTTGAAATATATCATGTACTCCTTGCTAAAAGAGAAGCATACTTACCACCAATAGAGAATGCTAACTATACCAGTCAAGAGCAGAGGAAGAATTGATAGAGTCCCCCATTTTTCATCCACTCTTTCAATAATGAAGATTGAAATGATGGAAGTGAAAGCAATAGTCATCTGCGGCAATTATAGACCTCACATTAAAATAATAACCAGAATATATAGCTACAGAATTATGGCCTATCTGAGAAATCCCAAGCTTCATCGCAAGAAAACTTACAGGCAAGCGGTCCCAGACAAGACGAGCATCATTTGGTTTGAGATGATAGTAAGCGGATCCAAAAGCAACAGCTGTAACGCCAATGAAAAAACATGTCCAACCCAATAGCTCACCTTGTGATCTTTTGGCACCATTGTCAGGAACATCACAGTCAACTCAGCAAATGGGGAGCCAAAAAAATTTGAGAAAATGTGACATATTGAAAGAAATAATGATAAAACATTATACCTTAGCCTGAAATAGTTCCGATAATAACAAAGTATAAGCCCAATTGCGCCAATTACAAAAAAAGGAAAATTTGATACCACATTCAGCATGTTCGGTATCCCTGTTAATCATAGCACACGTTATTTTCTATGAATGGATAATACAGGCTCAATCGTGTTTCAAAGTGCAGAGACAACTTGAGATGAAGTATATTACAGCCCCTCAATTACAGTTTAATAAGTTTCTTTGAACATAAAATATGTACATAAGCTTGTAGCAAACATGGAAAGGATGCAATTACATGTACTTTGAGCATCTCCAACAGCGATGCAGTTTTCCTTGTGCATACAAACAGCCCCAGAATAAAGCCAACCCCTCAAATTCCACTAACCAAACAAAATGAGTTAATAAACTAGATAAATATTCAATACCATTCAATGCTTCTCCGGTAAGGAACAAATCATGACGCACTCATCTGGATGCTAGGATGCGCAAAAGACAGGTCTGCTTGAGTTTTTTTTTTGTGCATAATTTGAAGGCAAAAATACTAAAACACACGTACTTTCCAACTTTTTATGCCAGTGAATACTGAAGCTAGAAGTATAACAAATCTCGAGCAGACCAACGTTTACATACAAAATCAGACAAAAAATAAAAACGAAATTGAGCAGCGCTGGAGCCCTAAATTTAGCATATCTCAAGCATCAGATTCCTACGATTCGACAGGACAAGAATCATAGGAGGAAAGGTTTTAGGTGTAAATTAAGAAAGAAATTCGGGGGAAAATAGAGAGATATCTTTACCAAAGAATTCACGCTGATCAGCAAAATCATGGTATTGTTCGGACTGGGGAATTTTCGGAGTGACAACCATTAAAACTATAAAACACAAGATTGCTACTCCCCATACTAACAGAGTTCGTTTACTCATCATCTCCTCTGTCTTTTTCCTTTTCAGATTTCTTCTTTCTTTCTTCTCTCCTCTGATTTCCAAACAACCATAATGACGAGGGAAGAAGGAAGTTTCCTCAGCTAATACGACAGTTTGGTCGTCAGCGCGGTAAACTTGTAATTCAGCTTTCCGTTGAGGGGTTAGTTTGTCCAATTTCCTCTGTCCAATGTACGAAGAGGAACTTCCGAGTTCTTACCAATGTTCCGTTCACTTCGAGTTTCGCCTTCTACAGTTCTACTCCGATTTGTATTTTTTTTTAATAATATCATTAGTTTTTTGATTTTTTGAAGGAAAAAGAAACTTTCTATCCTTGTTAGTTTTTGGTTGGGACTTGGGACTCAAGTAGTAGTACAAGTTTTTCGTTTATGCCCTTATCAGCCTTTTCGCCAAGATTAAGGTGTAGTCCAATTCGCGCTACAATGCTAATGGATACTAAGAATGTATACATATGGAGTATTAGAAAAATTTATAAGTTAAAATTGAAATTTACATGTGTATCACATCCTTTATTTCCTTTATATATATAAGAAGCACTTGGCGCTTCTACTGTTGCTGGGATTTCGAGTGCATTTCCCTGCTTTAGGATGTTGTACATTGCTTCAGGATGTTGTACGTCGGACTGCGCTTTCTCGTGCTTGTGCTTTGTGCGTTGGTTGGTGCTTCTGCTTTGTGGTGGAGCCCACTTCAACGTTCCACTGCAACATTTGGCCTCTCATTGTATATGCGTTGGAGATGGGTTGACCTGTGCTTCTCTTCAAATTAAAATGATAATGGATGTTCCAGATTATTTGTTCAATTAAAAATTATTAATTTTCAATTAAAATTCCTAAAAACAAAATTAAAATTAAACTTTGGAAAAAATTAAAAATAAACTTCAACTAAATTATTGAAACATGAGGAATTATGGTAATTGATTTAGAAATATTAAAATTGAGAATTAAACTCCAATTAAACTTCAATTGTAAATTAAAAGATGGAGAATTAAACTCCAATTAAATGATAATGGATGTTTGCAAATTATTCAATTAAAAAATATTAATTTTTTTAAAGAATGAAACTGCATTTATACTTTGCAATGAAAATTAAAAATAAACTTTTGGGAAAAACTAAAAATATATTTCAACTAAATTATATATAAAGGATAATATATAAGTAATGATATTTTCAAATAGGTTTTTGTGTGATGAAGATAAAGATCACATAGATTTACTGTTGAAATTTGGCCAACAAGTTAAATCATCTAGCTGGAAAGTTAAATCAGTTGTCTTCCACTACCTTTGGATTTTTACTCTTTTGGCCATTTACATGCTTATTTTCTGCTTTGCTATGCTCCCAATTTTGCCTATTTTTGTCATTTTGACTTCATTTCTCTCGGTTTTCCACTTGCCGCTTCTACTGTTGCTGGGATTTCGAGTGCATCTCCCTGCTTTAGGATGTTGTACATTGCTTCAGGATGTTGTACGTCGGACTGCGCTTTCTGGTGCTTGTGCTTTGTGCGTTGATTTGTGCTTCTGCTTTGTGGTGGAGCCCACTTCAACGTTCCACTGCAACATTCGGCCTCTCATTGTATATGCGTTGGAGATGGGTTGACCTGGGCTTCTCTTCAAATTAAAATGATAATGGAAGTTCCTGATTATTTGTTCAATTAAAAATTATTGATTTTCAATTAAAATTCCTAAAAACAAAATTAAAATTAAACTTTGGAAAAAATTAAAAATAAACTTCAACTAAATTATTGAAACATGAGGAATTATGGTAATTGATTTAGAAATATTAAAATTGAGAATTAAACTCCAATTAAACTCCAATTCTAAATTAAAAAATGGAGAATTAAACTCCAATTAAATGATAATGGATGTTTGCAAATTATTCAATTAAAAAATATTAATTTTTTTAAAGAATTAAACTGCATTTATACTTTGCAATGAAAATTAAAAATAAGCTTTTGGAAAAAACTAAAAATATATTTCAACTGAATTATATATAAAGGATAATATATAAGTAATGATATTTTGAGATAGGTTTTTGTGATGAAGATAAAGATCACATAGATTTACTGTTGAAATTTGGCCAATAAGTTAAATCATCTAGCTGGAAAGTTAAATTAGTTGTCTTCCACTACCTTTGGAGTTTTACTCTTTTGGCCATTTAGATGCTTATTTTGTGCTTTGCTATGCTCCTAATTTTGCTTATTTTTGTCATTTTGACTTCCTTTGTCTCGGTTTTCCATATTTCTTCTTTACTGATGGACCTACAATACACAGCTAGAAGAGATACGTGGAAATATTTTGGTATACATCCACAGAACCAGTTTACATGCAAGTTTCACTGCATTTCACTGCTTCCTTGACATCAGGTACTCTTTTATCCTCAGCCAAATTTGCTTCAGATCAGCTGTTCATTTGTTTCATAGTGGTATGTATTTGTTTCATCTGAATGTTTGGTCAGGTTTTTGAGCTATATCTTTCATAAAGTCTCTCAGATCAGCAGTTATTTTCTGTCTTCATGGAGGTATTGTAGTGTTTGTGCTTGGTTTAACTGCTTTCTACTTATGTATTCACTGCCTTCCTGTTTTTTACGTACATAGTTTGTTCCTTACGCATCAATATATATAGCTGTGTACATGCATATTTACACACAATATATATCTGTCTATACGGCTAGATTTTTCTTCCTGTGTCTTTGTTTCGTGCTTGGTTTCTCTGTATAAGAAACCTGAGCTGCTCTAAGCTGTCTGTAAGCGATGATCGTGATAAACTTCGTGAGAAAAAGGATAATCGAAATCGTAAAAAAAGGGAAAAATTTGCTGCTCTTTCGGCTGAAGCAAAAGAAGCTTGTCGAAAAAAGAATAGAGAGGCGTATCATAGAAAAAAATTCGAAAAAATGCTTTGCAAGTCCTTGCCACAACAATTTCAACAGGCTCGCAAATCACCAACTTCTGCATCCGTTATGCATACCTTTGCTGCTGAACAATGTTCTCATGGTACATGCTAATATCAACACTCTTATTATATTTTTATCATTTGTCTGTTCACCATTCAGTATTTCCCTTACGTGCATCATGTTTGTCTTTGAATGATAAAGGTAGCAGAGTAACTGGTTCTCAAACTCTGAAAGACATAGACAATGTTGATCGAATTATTGATTGTAATCAAGGTTAGCCACACTATTTATTCTTCTCTAAGTAATATATTTAGCTATACTCAGCTGACATTTTTTCTGAATCATTATTAGCTGCTTCCCCCAATCAGTTGTCATCCTCTGAATTTACAAGACACTGCAGAGGTACTATTTAATAGGTCCTTTATTTAAGAGGTACAATTTACACTTTTATCCTTTATTATGCTGATAATTGATTTTAATAGGTCCTCCAGAACCTGGTATTCGAACTTCTCAGTCTGCAAACAATAATGCTAAACTATCTTATACTGAGTCAAGTAAAAAGTTAAAAGAACAGATTTCTTCATTCTCAAGTTTTGAGAAAGGTAGATTACATAATTCATTTCCAATGTATTGTTTACAGTCAGATTATAAGCATTATTGTATTTATGCAATGATCTACTTTCAATTTTTAAACGCAGGATCTGCATCTAACTCTGAGACAAAGCATACGTGTGTAACTTCGACACAGAGTGCAGGTCATTTAGTCTTCAAAATGCATTGTGATTGCCCTTCCTTATATATAACCATCAACATTATCATTAGCACTCATATTAATTAGCTTCTTTCTTATCAGATAAATCATTCATATGTATGAACTGCTACAAATTCTTGACAGAAATTGCTGAAGAAGCTTCAGGTCATAATTCTTCTTGCAACTTTTTTAAAAAAGTTCTGATATCATTATTTATAAGAATTTGATCCACTTTATCTTTAATAGATTTGTCAACCATGCTTCCAACATACCAAGTGTACCAGCTTCCCCACAGTGGCTCTGCTAGAACAAGGACAAGTAGAGGTTACTACCTTCAATCTGACCAATCATTACTAGCACGCATCCAGAAATTATGCTGATTCTACCTATGATGGTCATACAGGCTTTAATACCTCATCCAAACACATTGAATATCAGTATTGAATATCAGCATATCTGAGTCATTGACAAATTATCCAAATACCTTCATCATGTTTCCACCGGCATGTACATACAGGTTTTTATGTGTGATTCTGATTATATATAATTGAACTATTCAGCCACAAGACAATCATCAGTGAAACAAAAGAAAGCTGTCAGTAACAGAAAGAAAAAAAAAGAGGTATAGATTACAAACCATTACTTGTTGCTTTTCCAGATACTTATTTTCACTTTCAGTGTTTAGTTTGACTCAAGTAATTGGTAATTTTACAGCTAATCAAGTTGTCGATGGAGTTTATGCACTGCAGTTTATTAATGACAAGGCAGATAGATTACCTAGCAAACCTGATTGTCAATACTGTGGAGCAAAAAGGATGCACTCTGAGACACCTAATTTCTGTTGTTCTGACGGACAAGTAGTTCTACATGAAAATAACCTTCCAGACATTCTTATAGAATTATTTACTGGTCACTCTGATGAAGCTTTATCCTTTCGCACGTATGTCAGAACATATAACAATATGTTTGCTTTCACTTCCTTTGGTGTACACTATGATAAATCGCTCTGCAGGAGAACAAATGGTATATATACATTCAAAGTTCAGGAACAGACCTATCACTTCATCAAAGACCTTATTCCGCATGGAGGATCTGGACTATATCTGCAGCTGTATTTTCATGATACAGACCATGAGCTCCAAAATAGAATGGCAGTTTCTGAAAGATTAACAGAAACTATAGTACTGAGGATCATGGAACTGATGAAATCTAATCCATACGTATGCTTTCTGCGAAGCCTCAGAAATGTTCCAAATTTAGATTCATATCAGATAGTGCTGAAATCACATTCAGAAAATGATCAACGAGTATTCAACCATCCAACAACCTCTCAAGTTGCAGCTCTTTGGACAGAAGGCCAAAATTCAGAATCAGGTTATGCCAGACACATCCAAATTTATACAAAAGAAGGAAGGGATCACTTGGTGCAATATTATTATGGCTGTTACGATCCTCTGCAGTATCCACTATTATTTGCACTTGGTGAAACAAGCTGGCATCCTGGCATCAGAAGAGTGACCACAGAGAATCCAAAAAAGAGAAAAAGATGTATTCAGAAAACCAGAACTACTGCTGTTCTAACCAACTACAAATCTGCTGAAGAAATGATATCTGCTGAATAAGAAGGTAGTTCCAACCTCCAATGACTCATACATTAGTTATATGCAAATGACTTATACATTACTTACATACATTAGTTATCCATTACTTATACAATTAAACATGTGCACTGATTTATATGCAGAATATACTACTTTTATTGATTATATGGAGAACACAGATCACTTATATTTTGTCAATGTATTCACCTTCATCCAATTGAATCAATAACTTATAGCTTATGTATGTAACTTTCAGCTTGCAATGATCCTGAAAACAACAGTGAATCTGTGTCAATGCGAGAATATTATGCTTATAAATTGCAGATGAGAGACAAATATTGTCCAAATATACTCAACACTGGAAGATTACTTCAGCAGTATGTTGTTGATATGTACATAAAAATCGAAAGCCAGAGACTATATTACTATAAGAATAAACAAGAATTTATAAGAAGAGAGGAACTACAAGGCGTTATGGATAGCGTCATAGCAGGTCAATGCCAAGGTTCAAAGGTAGGCCAGCGAGTGGTGCTTCCAGCTTCATTTATAGGAGGCCCACGTTACATGAAAAGGAGATATGTTGATGCTATGGCTTTGGTACAGAAATTTGGTAAACCAGATTTATTCATTACGATCACTTGCAATCCTTCATGGCCAGAAATAAAGGATCATATGCTCAGAACAGATGAAGGACACAACAGACCAGATTTACTCACTCGAGTGTTTCATGCAAAGCTTGATATGTTGAAGCAAGAATTATTCAAAAAAGAGATATTTGGATCTGTTGCTGCTTACACCTATGTCATTGAATTCCAAAAGCGCGGTCTTCCTCATGCTCATTTCCTCATAATCTTGAAGCCATGTTCAAAGCTTTACTCTACAGATTCTTATGATCAAATCGTTAGTGCAGAGATTCCAGATGAGAGCAAAAATCAACATCTTTTCAACATGGTTCGTAGACATATGATTCATGGTCCTTGTGGCAAAAAAAATCCAAACAATGTCTGTATGCAAGGACAACATCAGAAAAAATGCAGAAACAATTATGCAAAGCCATTTTCTGATAAAACATTTCATGGGGATAATGCATACCCCACTTACCAAAGAAGGAACAATGGATACAAGATGATGGTTCGTGGACATGAAGTGGATAACAGATGGGTTGTTCCATACAACCCTTACATTCTTGCAAAATTCAACTGCCATATAAATGTTGAAATCTGCTCTACAGTGAAAGCTGTGAAGTACATATATAAGTATATCTACAAAGGTCATGACAAGATCCATTTTCGAGTGAATTCAGACAGCTCTAATGACTCAAATTCTGATGCTAATTTATCTACAGTTGATGAAATCAAAGACTACCAGTCAGCTAGGTGGGTATGTGCAGTCGAAGGTATATGGAGGATATACAGATTCTTGCTATCTGAAATGCATCCTTCTATTATTCACCTACAACTTCACCTAGAAAATTGTCAGCCATTGAACTTCAGAGGAGATCAAGACTTACGCGATGTAGTAAGAAACAGATTTGCTAAGACAACTATGTTAACAGAATTCTTTTACATGAATTCTACTGATCCTCTAGCTCAGAACCTCAAATGCACTTATAAAGAGTTCCCTGAACATTTTGTCTGGTATCCAGGAAGGAGAAAATGGGAGCCAAGAAAACAAAAAGATTCTATAGGCAGGATAGTGACAGCAAGTCCAATGGAAGGAGAACGATACTTTCTCAGACTACTCCTCACACATGTCAACAGTCCAACTTCATTTGATGATTTGAGAACAATAAATGGAGCTTATGTACACACTTTTCGTGAGGCAGCAATCTTGAGAGGTTACTTTGAGTCCGATAAGTCACAAGAACAATGTCTTGAAGAAGCAAGTTTGTATCACATGCCATATAGTTTGAGAAGATTATTTGCGACTTTGCTCGTTCATTTTCCTCCTTCAAATCCAAGATATCTTTGGGAGCAATTTGAGCAGCCATTATCTGAAGATATGAGCAACATTCCAGAAATATCAGTTGATCAGATTCGTTTGCAGGTACTATGTCAAATAAATGAGTTTCTCCAATCAATGGGAAAAGACATTAATCAATACGCTTTAGTTTCAAATACCCTGTATTTTGTTGCCTTGAACAAAAACACCCGTGATACAATAGCTGAAACAAGAATCTCTGTACCAGAGCATGACCTATTAGCAATTAAACAACTAAATGTTGATCAGAAAAAAGCTTTTGACATTATTATGAATGCAGTTTTTGTTCACAAGAAAGGGATCTTCTTCATTGATGGACCAGGTGGAACAGGAAAAACATTCCTCTATCGAGCACTACTAGCAGAAACCAGATCAAAAGGATACATAGCTCTTGCTACAGCATCCTGTGGAGTTGCGGCTTCCATTTTACCAGGTGGAAGAACAGCTCACTCAAGATTCGAGATACCAATTGCTGGAACACCAGATAAGCAATGCAGAGTTAGTAAACAAAGCTCATTAGCAAAACTCCTTCAATCTGCAATTCTTATAATCTGGGATGAAGCTCCAATGGCGCATAAGGCCTCAATTGAAAGTGTTGACAAACTTCTAAGAGATATAATGGACTCAAACGATTTGTTTGGATCAAAGGTCATTGTTCTTAGAGGCGATTTCCGTCAAGTCTTGCCAGTGGTAACAAAGGGATCAAAATTTGAATTTATTGATGCAAGCATAGTCAATTCGTACATATGGCCACAGCTACGTAGATTACATCTCACTGAAAACATGAGAGCAAGACATGATCCAGAGTTTACTCAATATCTACTTCGCATTGGAAATGGAATGGAGCCAGTTATCTTCAAGAATTCTATCCAGATACCTCCATCAATGCTGATAAGATATACAAATGAGGAACAATCACTGACTGCACTCATCAGGACAGTATTTCCAGATTTGAAAGCATTTTCTGACCAAAATCTCTCTGCAGTTAATCGTGCTATACTGACAACAAAAAATGACTTTGTTGATCAAATTAATGAGAGACTCATTGTACATTTAGAAGGACAACTCCAAGAATATATCAGTCGAGACAAGTGTATAGACAGCTCTGACCAGACAATCATGGAGGACTTGCTGAACAGTTTAACTCCAAATGGTTTTCCACCTCATAAGCTACTTCTTAAACCATATTGCCCTATCATGTTACTCAGAAACATTGATGCTCCTCAGGGATTATGCAACGGCACTAGACTGATATGCAAATCCTTGAGCTCCAATATCATACATGCGGTCATAACATGTTGTGAATTTGCTGGAAAAGAGGTCTTCATCCACAGAATATCTTTCAGAGTAGAGAACAGTTCAGACTCACCAGTACCATTTGAACGTATTCAATTTCCTATCCGGCCCTGTTTTGCTATGACAATAAACAAAGCTCAGGGACAAACGCTTGATTTTGTTGGCATATATTTGCGTGAACCAGTTTTTTCACATGGACAGCTATATGTAGCAATGTCAAGAGCAAAAAACAGTAGTTCTGTGAAAATTCTTATCAAACCATCCATATTTGATGATGAACAAGACTCGATTACTGAAAATATAGTATATACAGAAGTACTAGATCTAGCTTACCAGTAATTGCCCTAAGCATGTGCATACGAGTTATTTATCCATGTCCATAATCATATACCTCTTATAGTCTTCATTCTGTACTCATGTATTCTTATTACAAGTCACAGCAGGAAAGAAACATCATTCCATTCAGTGAGATAATCCCTGGAATACAAAACTGGACAGCTCTGGTTCAGGTTCTGGACAAGCAAAAGGCATTACTTTCAAAAGCCGGCAACCGATATCAGAAGCTGATATTAATTGATCAGCAGGTAATCGAAATTCTGAACTCCACTCTATATACTTTATTACTCAACCTTTATATTCAGATCAACACAACTATATTTGTTACCAGGGTACAACAGTTGAAGCAATGATTTATAAATCAGACATCGACTTCTTCAGAAACCATTTCCAACTCTACAAACGATACATTCTCTGCAATGCTAGAATTGAGTACACACCATCAGAATATCGCAGTCATCCAAATCAGTGTACATGGTACATAGATAATTCTACTGTTGTTCAAGCAAAAGATGAAGTCCAGCCACCTTAGATTCCAACTGTCTTCAGATTCTCGCCCTTTACAAAATTCCACCAGCACATAGATGATAATACAGATATAGGTAAGTCACAAAACCATGTCCTCAACTGCTAATATGCGTAGTCTTCATAACAGTTATAACTAAGCACATTCCAAAATCAGATATCTTAGGCATTGTCGCTGAAGTTCATCCTCGAATACAGAGAGCTACTACTGCTACCAGGGAAGTAGTGATTATAGACAAAAGGTATGTAAAACCATCCATTTATTCTATACCAACTCTATACCATCACAAATTGATCAAGATATCCTTTTCTAACAAATTGTCACTTATCAATAAAACACAATGCAGCATGATGCCAGTGATTCTGACTCTGTGGGGTGAGCATGAAACAGATGAAGGCCAAACGATTGCAAATATCATTGACACAATGCCGCTCATTGTTGCACTTCGAATTAAAGTATCATCATATCACAGTGAGTGCATAACAAATTTCTGATGCTTCGAATGTTTAGTGACTTAGTATGTATTCATAATACTATGTACCTTACAACACATAATTATTGCAGCACTGAATCTCTCAACAAAATTTGGATCAAGCATTCTGGTTAATCCTCCGATACAACAAACTGCTGATCTCAAACATTGGTACTACTTCTTCTCATAAGTAATCATTTGAAAATATTTTCTATCAAATATATTCTAAACGTTACAAATGAAACTTTTATCTTGACTCACAAGGGCTACTGAGACACAAGCAGAAATCAAGAAACTGATGGCAGAAAAAGCATACCACAACCGAGCTAAGCTTCTGCCACAACCAAGAGATGATGAGGTCACAACTATTCAAGATTTCCTTGCGTTTCCTACGGTAAATTGTACCCCTCAAGCTTTATCACCAAAAACATTTGAAAGATACACTTTGTTTTTTATGCCAGCTTCATCACTTGATTCCCTACTCTTGACCTCTTGTACCAATAACTCTTATTTTCATCCCTTTTTACTTCAGGATTTTTCATTTTCTTCTTAAACATGTTAAATATTCACATCTACATCTCAATTTCCTTATCAATGTAAGCTGAACAATAGTGACTTTAATACAGAAAAAAGCCTACTGGTTGCGTGGTACTCCAAGGTTACTAGACAAGAGCCAACGATTATGGTATAATGCTTGTCCACAATGCCACAAATCATTCAGAGGAAAGCCAGCGTGGAAAATTGTTTGCACTTCATGCAACAAACAAGTAAATATTACTGCAAGATGCCGATTAACTGTAGAACTTGCTGATTATTCTGGAGTTTTGACGCTTGATCTTTATGACAACGATGCTCTTCAGTTACTACCTTTCACCTTATTGGAGATGCAAGACTTAGAAAACAAGGTAACAAATCGGATTTTTATATGCATTCAGAATACTATGAGTAAAAACTAAGTGTACCATATCTGATCAAAATCTGTTTATATTACTTTGACAGCATGAACTGAACTATGAAGCCATTGAAGAGGCCATTAACAGCACTGTGATAACATGCTTTGTGAAGAAAATGATAAACACCCATGCATCCACCAGTACTGAGAAATACTCAGCCATTATCCTGCACAAAACATCCATGGCAGAGATTCTAGCACAAGTTTCTTCCACCATTGCTTGCTCAGAGTCAAGTACAGAAGCTGCAATCACCACTCCACAGACCAATGAAACTCCACTCGCTACTGCTCCAAAAGACACAAATGTGCACAGCAGTTTGCTATCAACTCTGAAAATCACAGAGAGCCCAACTAAAAAGCAACGTACCAAAGAATCTGAAAAGGAAGAATGAAACTGCCATATAATACTTTTTGTTAGCAAATATTTTTGGACATCTACTAGCATTCCACAACTTTTGATTCTTGAACTTTGGCTCCTCAGCTTTCTACCCCTAAACTTTTTGTTGCTGAACCTTTACTACTCTTTATCATTTGTATAGCTACTGAACTTTTGATGCACTTTTGCTTAAAGATAGTTAGCTGAGCTTTGTGGAACTGAAAACACCCGCTGTATTATGTATACTTATTGCAACTATTTTGCCTCCACTAGCTGTGTTTGAATTTTTTCTATGCTTGCAAATCCATTCCAATTTTACAATAGTTTATTCCTTTCACCTTCATTTGAAAAAAAACTAGAGCACAAACTACAATCAAACCGAGTATTAACAAACCATGAAACACAAAAACATTTCCACTACCTATGAACTTCATGCAACTAAACTTCCTCAACACAAAATCTAAACAGAAACTTTTACATATAATACAGTACATCACAACTGCAAACAATTCCACGATACAAATCATACAGATCAATGAAAACATACATAGCACTGCATTACAAATTTCTTCCACACGCATCAAAAGAGCCACTCATCGCACTTTGAACTGCTTTCCTCTGTTCTTCAACTTCTACTTCCATACGACGAGCAATGATTTGAAGAAATGGAAGCTGTCCAATATCCCCTAATGCACTTTCCAGCACACGAGCCTTCTCTGGATGTTGATAAAAAGATTTGAACAACTCATATATCTCATTCCTAAGTAAAATATTATTTGCTAAAAGCCGATCTGCACCACTTAACATCCCATTATCTCCACTATGCCCTGCCAAGTTTCCCAACACACCACTTATTGATACTCGATTGAGCATAACTTCAATATCTGGATGCAAATCACGTAACACTGCAATACGATTATGAGTATAATCCATCTTCAAGTCACAAAGAAGTACAAAAAAATCACTAATAAAGCATACAAAAACCTATAACAATACAGCAACTAAATAACCAAATCACAAAACTAACGCATTTATACACATCAACTACATCACAGAGCAAAAAGAAACAAATACAAAAAACAGAATGACACTATACACATGTGAACTAAACAACACTGACAAAAAGATATGTGCCACACAAAAAACTACTGTATTCACGTGAATTCTTTTACTCTGTCTCCAAACCAAAACAAAAAGAATCAGTGGTCAAAAACAGATGTCAACCTGTCCAACATCAATTTCCCTGATCATATTCTTTGTCCATCTATAATCAAACATACCACTCTGTTTAGTCTATCAACGTTTACCCGAAATATCCTACAACTATTCATTGTTGATTCATTTAAATATCCGATACATCGCACCAAACAATTAAAAATATCAAATAAATCTTCTTCATTTTATTATCCATTCAATCAACTTTTAAATTTTTAAACACCTCCATATATTTTATCTATCATTCATTAAACATTCGACTCTTGTCAAAAACTGCAGATTCAATTCGTATTCTGTTTCAAATTTCCTACAAATTTTCATTGAACAATAATTCACTCTACGCTGGTTCCAAATCTCATACATGCGATGGAACATATGAACATATCGCAGAAATATCCTTCATTTTATTATGGATTTAATCTATATATTTTATTCATGTTAATTGTATAAGTTATTATATAAGTTAATCTACATACATGATAATAGACCTAATCTACATATTTTATTCATGTTCATTAGCTCTAATACATCTAATAAAATTCTTTTAATTCATGTTAAAATTCCAAACAACTTCCCAAAAACTGCAGGCTACATTCGCATGAGTTATGACCAATCTAAAACCAACACATTCCAAATCTTAAATTTCCTCACAAATTTTCACTACATGCTATTGTACCACACTTCTACAAACAAAAACTTCAGTACTTCATAAAATACATACATATACATATGATGCTACTTTATGTAGCAAATACAAGATCATGATATTCTCCAAAAACTCACAAACACTTCTTACTAGCTAAACACCATACGCTAAAAACCATACGTCAAAAACCAACAATACACAAACCAAGAAACACATCTTCGCAAAGCCAAAACCTTCAATCAGTTTCGCCACCCAAGTCACTAGAAGATGGCGGACTGGGAAAGTAATATCTTTCTTCTAACACCTCCAACCTCATTCTACTAGCAATCAATCCCAAGATCGGATAGCCCCTTCCGACCCTAAACGCAGCCTCTAGAACCGACGCCCAATCATCATGCCTATAAAATTCCTTGAACAAATTACATATCTCATTTTTCAGCAAAACATTTGCCACCTGTGCTCGTGCAACAGGTTCAGCTGGACGATTCCGACACCCATTTCCTAAAGGATAAGCTGCTCCACAAACAACAGCCAGTTGATTCACCTCTTCATCCACCTCTGGATAATACAATTGAGCAGTCGGAAATCTCCCACTTGCACCCGCCATTTGCAAACGTTAACTATCTACAGACAAATACTAAACGTACACTTCTTACCAGTATCCCAGCTTCAAATATATAACCAAGAAACACCACTAGACACACGTGAATTTTCAGAACTGCCTACCGTCCTTCCACACAAGAAATTACACGTCTCATACTACCTACACATGCAAACAAATATCTACCATGCACACGTCAATACAGCATAGATTCTGCTAACTTCATAACAGTAATATACAGTAATATATATAAAAAAATATATATAATATGCATGTATATAACAGTAATATACACTGAAAAATGTATATATATATATAATATACATGTATATAACAGTAATATATACCAACAAACGTACACAATAATTATACATATATACATTACAGATATATATAAATATATATAGATATATACTAATTAATATAAATAATAATCATCCATACACAAGTATGGCACATATATACAATTATATATAGATATATATATAAATATATATACATATAATACTCATACGTATCACAATTGTACATATATACAAATATATATATAAATATATATATATAAATATATTTCCACCACTTATCCAATATATTTAACTCACAATATACAAATGATATTTCCACCGCTTAACCTGAAAAAAAACTTACGCAACATATTTAACTCACAACAAATAAAAACAAAAATCACATAGATTTTACTCTTGAACTTTCACAAAAAAGCAACAAATACTCTATTTAATTAAAATTCTAAAATTATCCATTCAAAGCATTTAACCACACGTGCACAAATTGAAAACCAAATTTTCCCACATTTATCACCTACTACCCAGCGCCCGCGCATTGCGCGGGATACCCACCTAGTATATATATATATATGCATGACACGTAATAGGAAAGGTTTTAGTGAAGGTCTCCTGGATGGCTTTCAAATCTCCCATAAATTTTTTTTGGATTTTTCATTTATTTTAATACATAAATTCAATTAAAAAGTTTAAAATAGTGATTTACAACTAATCTTATGACATTCAAATTTAAAATTTAAAGCTTTTTAATAAATCATTTGTAGTTTGTTTTTAGACTTTAATCCCTTTTTCCTTCCATAATTGAAGAAAATAAATTTGGATAATTTGATTAGGTCCATAGTAAAATCATTCACCCCATTACAACTTTATCACTTTAGCCCATTTTACTCCTTGATTAATATAGATTGATTTGTCAAATCTGAGGAATAATGTGATTAGTCCCATTTTTTAATCATTTACATAATAATATTTTTAGCACTTTCCTTCCAGGTATATACATTGATTTGTCAAACATTCCGATGACATATCCAATTAAGTTATTTTTTAGCTTTAAACTTATCCTATTAGACAATTATTCAAACCAATGAAATAAACACTTTGACATACAATGTCATCTAGATAATTTTTGATATACGCAAAACTCCATTTGGATAATTTTTCATATAACATGTATATCAAAAAGTGCACATAAAACAAAATTTGATATGAATTTTAAATTAATAAAAAAGGCATTTAGATTCATCAAAAATTTGAAAACAAATATTTGTTTAAACAATTATCTTGGGTGGTCGTCACAAAAATAATAGTATTTCACTAAAGTTATACCCAATTACTTTTTCTTAACAGCTATAATTTTAAATTTTTATTTGAAAAAAACACATGCAAAGTGAGGTAACGATAACTCAATAATAAAAGGAATAGAAGAATAGGAGTACAAGACTAGGAAGGGTAAAAGTGAGGTAACGAATTCTAAGTAATAAAAGGAGTATAAAGATAAGAGTATAGGGTTGGGGAGGTTAAAGTCAAGGGAACCATAGTTGTGGATTGGGATGAAACTATCAAAATGGGTGATTTATGTGGGTTAAAGGTATATAGTTTTACATAGTTTTGGTTATCTTACCCATTTACGATTCATTACAAAATTTTATGTGTTTTTTCTCCCATATTTTTTGAGCAACAAAATAAGATATCATTGTAATCAACAAAAATAAAAATACATTATAATAATAAATAAATTTTTACCCAAAAAAATTACATAGAAGAACCAATAATTGTGAGTTTCAAATTTTGCACACTAGAAGAATCTCAAAATAATTTAAATGTGAATGCAAAAAATAAATTAACACTCAATGAGTTAATTAAAACTTTGATGGAATGGAAGGAGGAAATAGGATAAAATTTAACAAAAATTAAAAAATAGGAAAAGAACATTAAATATATCTTTGCAAAAAGTAGAAATCAATTATTGTATTGGTAGCGATTTAAATTTACTTACTAATGAATTTGAATTCATGACTAATTTAATTAGTACTAAACAAATAGTCACAATCTTTCCATTTAAAAGCTAATAATTAATGAGTTCAATTGGGTTACCTATTTGAAACTAATTAAATTGCATACTCATACTCATTTGTTGAAGAACGAGTTGAAAAATTGGTCACTATTTATAACTATAAATGGGTGGAAAGAGTAATAAAATAGGAGATAAATAGGTTGTGAAATTGGATAAGAGATTGCTCAATTTGATAGAATTAAAGTAGGATAAAGGGAATGTAGAGTTTGTGAGAATGAGGAGTTGGAGGGATATGGGAAGTTGGGTTTGGAAGGTGAATAAGAGGGTAATGAGAAGTAGGAGAATGTTGAAGGGAAGTAATGTAAAAACAAAACATGGAAAGAAGGGGTAACAATGTTGTAGTTGATGTGCTTTTAGTATTTCTTTAGGTATTTTTATGGTCTTTGCTAATATTTTTGTAATATACTTTAAGCTTTTAGATAAGTTATATAAATATAATATAAATTAGATACTAAAATAGCATTCTTTTAATTTTTTAACCTTTTTTCATGTAACTAATATAAATAATTCATTTGCTATTATTATTATATTAAACGTAAATCCGTGCATAGCATAGATTACAATACTAGTTTACATTGTATCCACATGTGTATACAATATCAATTTATAAAAGATAAATTCCAAAATAGAATATAGTAAATAAATTAAAGATCTTTTATTGGATGGCTTCTCCAAAATCTGACATTTGAATTACAGCCATTCATATTTATTATTCTGTTACTTTTTAGTTTATTTTTTAAGTCTAGCACTAAAACCTCAAACTAATAACCAATAACACAAATTAATAATATCTAATTACTAGCTACATCACAAAAATCCTCTCCAAAAATGATATTCTTGTTATCTCTTATGTGTAATTTACTCCTTATTAATAATAATTTGCAAGTTATATTTATCTCTCATACCTTGCATGTATATAAAACTACATTAGTAATAAAGAATAGCTCATGTCAAAAATCACTTGAAAAATTTAGGAAAATATATTTGCACTCTATTTTTTATTATTTGTATTTCCACGATCATTCTAATAACTAGACTGTGTGATACTCCCTCTATCCCGCAAAGTCTATTGCACTTCGGAAACAATGCTTTTTATGCACAATAACATCCAATTATCTGTAAACTTGTTTGTTTCAAGTTTGCCCTTTACATTCCACTAACTCGTCCAAGAAACAAATGGGTCCAAATGGGACCCATTGAAAGCACTCCTTTGTTTCAGCCATAAAAAATTCATTTGCTTTTCAAAATCTTCTTCATCCAAGAAACAAATAGGTCAAAGTGGGACCCACCAAAAAGCAATCCTTTGTTTTAGCCACAAAAAACCAGTTTCCTTATCAAAATTTTTTTCTAGCAGACATTCCAATGGGATCACCATCTACTACTAAAATCTTCTCTAATTCTCTGTAGTTAGCCATTCTTCAATTGCTGCAAATCAAGCTACGATAATTTCTCTAGAATAACTACAAATTCCATTTTCTCATTCTCCATATTCACTTGAAAGTTTTCACCTTTGATTATAATTTTGGTGCTCCAGTTCGAGAGAGAAGCATTGGAAGGATACAAAGTAGATTTCTAATCCAGAGTTGATAAAAAATGAGATTGAAAGGTTAGTTAATTGTCTTTTATTCTTTCTTTTTAATGGGTTTTTTTTTTCTATTTTCTCATGTAAGAAAGGTTGGATCTTTTAAACGTTTTTAATGTTTAATTATTGATTATTTTGTCTATAATTTCTTAAAGAATTGCTGCCAAATTATTTACTGAAAATTTGGGTTTTGGCAGATTGCTCAAAAAAAAAAAAAAAGTCTTGAAATGTCTATTTTAAATTATTTAACGGGATTATACAACTAACTTGTACATCTATATATGCAGTTCATTTTTTTTTTTTTTACACTCTATTTCAGAGGTGACTTTTAAAAGAAATATAGATACTTTTAATGATATTGAAACTAATAATTCTACGAAGAGATTAACTAATCAAGAAAGGCAATGATTTCTGAAGCTTTATTATAGGTAAGTAATGCCAGTAAATTGAAAAGGGGAACGATCAGGAACGTTGCAAACCTATTTAAAACAAGTGTTAGGACAGTCCAGAGAATTTTGAAGTTAGCAGCAATTACTTCTACATATGGAGGGGTTGACGATACACTCAGATTTCCTAAAAGATGCGGAAGAAAATGAGTGGAGATTGATTTTACTTTCATCATGGCAATTCCTCTTCGGCGCCGGACAAACATCTAGTCACTTTCAAGTGAAACGAAAGTGCCTAAATCAACAAGTGAAATGAAAGTGCCTAAATCAACCCTTCACCGATGAATTAAAGAAGATGTTATAAGGTCACACTCAAATACACTCAACCCACAATTGACAAATCATAATAACAAGTAAGGTTTAACTTTTGCTTGTCAATGTTTGAACCAAAAAGTCTCAACACTAATTCAATGTTTATAAGTATGTTCAATGTTGTGCATATTGATGAAAAGTGGTTTTACATGACTAAAGAATGTGAAAAGTATTATCTTTATCATCAAGGAGAACAACCTCTTAGGACATGTAAGAGCAAAAAATTCATTGTGAAAGTTATGTTCCTAGCTGCTATTGCTCGAACACGTTTTGATTGCTCTGGTAACCCAACATTTGATGAAAAAAGTGGGATTTTCCCTTTTGTATTTAAAGAACTTGCAAAAATGAGTAGTAAAAATCATATGGTAAGTACATTAGAGACTAAGTCAATATTGTCAGTGATTAAGGAAGTGTATAGGAGGTGTTTAATTCAATAGGTTTTGCCTGCAATACATGCTAAATAGCCACGGGATGGTGGTAGTGTTACTGAAATTTTGATCCAACAAGATAATGGAAAACCACATATTGATCCTACTGATCCTAAATTTATTGAAACTGCTTCTAGGGATGGATTTGATATTCACTTGTCATTTCAGCCTCCTAACAGTCCGGACATGAATATTCTTGACTTAGGATATTTTAGAGCTATACAGTGCTTACAACATCAAGAAGCACCCGTGTCAATTGATGAGCTAATTCTTGCTGTGAAAAAGTCATTTGATCAATTATCAAGTGAAAGTCTGAACAATGTTTTCTTAACATTGCAATCTTGTATGGTAGAGGTGATGAAAAATCTTGGGGGACATAATTATAAAGTGCTACACATTGGGAAGCACCATTTAATGAAAGAAGGTTGTCTTCCACTATAAATAGAATGTGAAAAAGAACTTTGAATCAAGTTCTAAGTCATATGCAAGTATGATTATCTTTACTGGACAGGTCAGATTTTATGAAATTTTTTTGTTTTTTAAGATTTTTAATCTCCAACTTCTTGTATGTATGATTGTTTAAACTAACTAGTGTTTTTTATTTTCATATTTGTAAGTACTTAAACTGTACTAACCATGTTTTTTGAACAAAATGGTATGGTTGTTCTAATGTGCAAAATGTACATGTACTTAATGTTCATTTGTTTAGCTATTTATATTCACTTTGCTCTGGAGCATCTTTATTTGTTGTTTTTCACTAAGTTATGTCAAATCTCATCTTTTGGAAGATGGTTGAAGTTAAGCAATCCAAGCCTTTTGATTTTGTGGTGCAAGCTTTTGATTGGGCAAAGAATATGGAAGCACTTTTTATGTACTAGTGGTTTTTGGATTGACTGCTTTTATCTCAGTTTACACGATTTTAGAATAGCTTTGTAAAGTTAGCTTGATGTTAGTAGTACTAGTATGAATTATGTACAAAAGGAAAAATGTGCAATGCTAAGTGAAGCTGTGTACATATATAGACAGTAGAGTACTACTTTTGTTGTTGTTTTTAAAACTGTCAATAGCCTTATTCTATAAGGTGGAAATATTGCATATTGGTTTGCATTCTTTTGCTCTTTGACTGGTAGAATATCTGTTTTTACATTTTTGCATTTTAAAATATTAAAGAAAAGTGTGAGAAATCAACACTTTCATAGACTCCATTTAAATTAAATTTGGTAGCTTGTGTAGTTATTTTTTTCTCGAAATAGAATAACATGCCTTATTATTTTGCTCGTTTAGTTTTTGGATCAATTTAAAATTATTCACCTATTTTTACACTATTTATTGCTTTCAATATGGATTTATTTTGTGACAGTTGATAATTCTTAACAAATTAGTGCATATGAAAATAATTTAAAAATTGAAAGTTTTCAAAAGAAAATCACTAATTAAGTTATCTCGATATTCTATTTACCGAAAAAAATCGAAATTATTCTCTTCATAACAAAACCGGTCTTCAATTGGAGTTTGAAAGAGTCATATTGACATTCTTGGTGATGAATTTGGCTGGAGTCGGAACTCAAACATCGTACAGGTTGGGACATTTGGATGATCTTTGGGATCATACATCAATTTGTGACCAATTAGCACATGCATGATCACATCATTAGTGGAGGGCAGAAATGGGACTTAACCGGTTAAAATAGTTTGAAATGTTAAACATGATAAACATTTTGGAATAGTTCAAAAAAGAAAATATGATACTTTTAATGGGACGAAGGGAATATCATTCTAATCATATAGTTTTTATTTGAGAAAATCGTTCAGGAGGTTTTTCGCATTTTATAAAATGACTTTTTTCATCATTCATTTTGAAAATTGTACTTTACGTCCCTTACAAATTCACATTAATCAAATTTGATCCATATCTAGATTTTCGACTAGTTTTTGATCGAAATTCATCACTTTGCAAGGGATCATTTTTGAAGAACAAAATTATCAAATCAAAATTTACATAATCCAATCCATAGTCCATTTCATAAATGAATTTTTTGTCTCTCATATTTCACAAAATGAATTTTTTCATCCATCATATTTTACAAAATAAATTTTTTCATTCCTTATTAATCATGTGTACGAATAATTTTTTAAAATTTATGTATATATCTATTTGATTTTAACTAAATAATATGAATAATATGTAATATATCTTTATTTGATTTCGTCTGAACGTACTGTTCAGATGAAATTAAAATAGATATATATTAAAATAGATATATATAGGAGTGTAAAAAATTTTGCCTCACCTTTGAGGGTTGCAGCTTTGTATGCTAATTAAGGGCTCCAGCCCTACTTCGCCAAAGATCTACAAGCCAGGATTCTAGAGAAAGAGATGCTATTAAGGATACTTTAACAGAACCTTAGGACTTCTCTTGAGTTGGGCATCCCTGACTCCATTCCTGACTAAAGAAGGGAATGCGGTGAATCACCAGTTTGGATCGAAGAATAGGCACCCGCGAAGCCCGCTCCGTGTGAGTCTTTGCTATTTTTCTCCTTGTAGTCTTTATGTGAGTGAGTTTAGGATTAGTTTTTCACTCATGTTAATTTTCTTTTACTGGAAAATTAAAAATAAAAAAGACATTTAATCATAAATATTATCAAGTGTTTATATTAAATTAAGTTTGGACAGAAAAAATAAAGAAGGAAAAAGTATGACAAAAAAAAAGTAAGTGATTGATACTTTTAAATTTTAAGATATTCAAAAGGCAAAAAATCAACTGTTGGTCTTAAAGGTGATGAGTAAAAATTTCAGATTTAAACTACAATTTGTTCGCATGACTATAGAATTTGAATTATGACCGATTAATTAGATTGTTTTATCACACAACTCAATAAATGAATTATTACCAAAATAGAAAAGATTACAAATATTGAATAGATTCACATGGTGAAATCAAATATATATATATATGGGTATAAAAGAAAATTGTTAGATTTAAATCTATGTATATATCTATTGAATACATATGCACAATTATAATTAGTCTGTTTAGATAAAATCAAATGGAGATATATTATATATTATTCGTACTGTTCAGATGAAATTCAATAGATATATATATGAATTTTTAAAAAAACTATTCGTATATATGGTCAATGAGGGACGAAAAAATTTATTTTGTAAAATGAAAGGGACTATAGATGGATTATGTAAATTTTGAATTGATAATTTTACCCCTATAAAATGATCACATGCAAGACACGTGATGAATTCCGACAAAAACTAGTCGAAAACTTAGGTAAGGATCAAATTTGACCAATGTGAATTTGTAAGGGATTTAAAATTGAGCAAATTATCCGGTTGGCCATTAAACTTTTGCGATCGTCAAGTTTTGGTCACTCAACTTTTAAAGGTTTGATTTTGGCCACTAAATTGTATAAAGGTAAGATGTGAGGCCATTCTGTTACATTTAACCGTTAAGTTCTTTGATCTGTCCGTTAGTGCAATTTCCAAGACAAAAGGTAGGGTCTTTTAAGGAAATTCAAAAGATTTGAGAAATGGGAAAGTTGATTTGCTACCCGACGGCGTCGTCACCGGTGATCCCATGGAGACACCCAACTTCAACTCCAACGGTGGATCTCTTTTATCGAAGTTCTTGCAAAATAAGTCTTTTTCTCTTCTTAGTCCCGATCGAAGAAGTATTTACTAATCTATTTGTGGGTCCTAATCTCTGTCAGATCAAACAAAGACTTTAATCTTGGTTGCTAAAAGCCATAAAAGGGTTGGCTTTACGCCAACAAGGGAAAACAAAAGACCTGCTATGGAGAGACCCAACTTCAACTCCAACGGTGGATCTCGTTGACCAGTCAGCGGCCAGTGCCGCCAACAACAATGACGTCGTGGGATGACGTTTCAGGATTAGAGGAGTAGCAGAAAAGGCACCTGACGAGGCTGCAGGCAAAAGGGGTTTTGTGGAAGCATCTAGAGGATCAGAACACGTTGGTCGTCTTCAGGTTAAGTCACGACGGAGAGGTGGAAGCCGACGAAAATTATCTGTTTACAGCGTCGAGGAAGGCCATGGAGTCAGTTTTAAAGATGAAGGAGTTGAGGCGGAGGACGGTGAGGAGGTTCTTGGAGGATCTTGGATCCGCGAGTAATGAGGTTAGGAAAATGATTGAATCGGCAATTAAGCATATGTACTCGCCGGATCTGAAGTCGGGTTGGGGGATCCATGTGGTTCAGGATCCATTGAATACTATTTTGAACTTCCAAAAGAGACCCTGTCTTTTATCTTGGAAATCGCGCTAACGGACAGATTAAAGAATTTAACGGCTAAATGTAACAGAATGGCCTCGCGTTTTACCTTTTTACAGTTTAGTGGCCAAAATCAGACCTTTAAATGTTGAGTGACCAAAACTCGACGATCGTAAAAGTTTAATGGCCAACCGGATAATTTGCTCTTTAAAATTACACTTTTAAAAGTGAGAGACAAAAAAAATTAGGGAAAATCGCCAATTTAGTCCTCAAACTATTTTACTAAAGCCGATTTGGTCCCTAAAAGTTTTATCGCACCAATTAAGTTCCTTAACTAAAATGCTTGTGCCAATTGAGGACTTATACGGCGTCGCCACCCAAAACTCATGTATCTGTACAGAAAACAACGGCCAGGCAGGGGCCTTTTTGGAAGTTCTCATCCTAATTTCTACGGAAAGCAAGACAGAGCCCATTTTGCATCCGAATTGGGGGAAACCGTGAAATTAGGGGTTTTCCAAGACAGAAACCCATTTTGCATGCAAATAGCGGAAGAAATTGGGGGTTTGCCCCTATTTGCTTGTAGAAATCTTGAAATTATTTGAAAACCGCGAAGTCTCATTTGCATTTTTCAAGTTCTGTGATGCTTCGGAATTCATAGTCCAGTCGTGTTGTATTGTCGCACATGTCTTGGCTGCTGAGGGGTTGAGGTTGATGGCACAGGATGTTCTCTCTTCTGTAATTAGTAGAATTGGTGAATGTAGGAGTAATGAGTTGGTAGAGTTTATGTGGAGAGAGCATAGCAAGTATGAGTCAGATTTCTCGGTTCTTGATTCTTTGATGAGGGCGTTTGTGAATACAGATATGGGTTCCCAAGCATTGAAAATCTGGGATAGAATGAGGGAGGTCAGAATTAGACCAAGTTTATCAGCTGTTAGCATTTTCTTTGCGCTGCTAATTAGAGTTGGTGATTATGGTAGTGTATGGAAGTTATTTAGAGATATGATCCAAAGGGGACCTTGCCCAAATATTTTTGTGTATAATGTGATGATTCTTGGCTTTTGTAGAAAAGGGTGTGTTAGAACAGGAGAAAGCTTGTTGTTTTTGATGAGGAAGTATGGTTGTGAACCTGATGTTATTGCACATAATTTGCTAATAAGTGCATATTGTGTGAGAGGCTGGACATCTCATTCTCTGAATTGGGCGCATTTTATGGCGGAAAGCGGTTGTGAACCAAGCACTGCCACATTTGTTACAATTATTAATGCACTCTGCAAGGAGGGCAACATTGTAGAAGCAAGGAAAATATTTGAAGAAATGCAAGAAATGGGTGTTTCACCAGGCACTGTGACATACAATGCTTTGATGGATGGCCATGTAAAGGCAAGAGAAATTGGTGAGGCTAATATGCTCTATGAGGAAATGCGGACTATGAGAGTTGCTCCTGATGGTATAACTTTTAACATTTTGGTTGCAGGAAACTACAAATATGGGAGGGAAGATGACAGGTTCTTAAGGGAATTATCTATGATGGCTTTGATTCCTGATTGTTCAATATCTGACATGTCCATTTCAGGATTGTGTTGGGCAGGAAGGTTAGATGAGGCTTTGTGTGAGAACCCCAAAAATATATATAAGCCTATGCATATTTCATTTGCATTCTTAATCCTTAAATAAATTTTAGCATTAAATCTAATTGTTTTTAAATAAGTGCGTAGAAATAAATTTTATGTGCATTATAGATTTTTAATAAAATTTATTATTATTTGATCTTAAAAAAGTGTGCAAAAATAATTTATTATAGATTACAAATAATTCAATTGTGCAAAACATTTGATTATTTGAATTTTTGCCAAGCTAAATTAATAATTCTCGACGTTGAGTGTGCCATTGTTTTTATTTAATTCCTTGAGTTCAATAAGTTAATTTTAAGTATTAATAACGATAGGTGTTAAAGCGAAATTAGAATCAAGGCGAGTCGTTTTAAGTCAAAGCTCTTAATAATTATTTTAGGACGCTGAATTTCGATAACTTAATTTTGCGAGACTAGGACACTAGTAGGCTATTGAATTTCATTTAAGGTAAAATTTTGGAATTAGTTTAGGACGAGGGACCTAAGTGAAAGGTTGCACAAGTTGCTAAAAGACTAAAACAGCCTTCCTCCATTTCAAATCTACCATGCAGCCATGGAAATTACAAACAACTCCAAATCCTGCCGGTTTCACTTCCAATTTCATTCCAGCATTCCTATTGGATATGGCCGACCAACTCCACTCAAAGCCTCACCTTATATACCTTACATTACCACACACCACTATATCATTCACACTACACCACAATATCACAACTTCAATTTACTTTCTGCCGTGAGAGTGAGAGAGCAGCTACATAGGAATTAACGACGGGAGAGAGAGTGAGCCGAGCTTCCTGTTTCTTTTCTTTTCTGTCCGTAAACCAGAGAGGGAAGAGAGGGACTTGTGATTCGGTCTGTCTTCCATCTGTGAGCTGGTGCAGAGCTTGAGACCAGAGTTCCTTCATCCAGCCGCAAGCCAGAGCAAGGGAGAGAGGAAGAGAGAACTAGCGGTCTGCATTTTTTTCTGGACAGCCGAGAGAGAGAATTGTTGCAGCTGCTAGCTGTGTGTTTTAGGCTTCAGGCTAAGGTAAATTCTGGACTTAGATAAATTGTTTACGGGTTGATGAAGCTGTCTATACGCATGCATGTGGGTTTGTGAGGTTAGATGAGGAATTGAGACTTAAGAAATCTGGTTTGGAAAGAATTGAAGTTGTCGTGAGCTTTAATCAGAAATGCAGATGTAATCCTGTTTAGTCATAGTAATCTGAGCTTGTTTTGGTGCCTAATCAACTAATCACTAGCTGATTAAATTGTTTAAAGCTTTGCACGTTGACCTTAGACCATCGGATGCTGAATTCAGAAAAACAGAAATCTGATATGCGTAAGAATTAAAGCTGTCGAAAGTTTGAGCTGGAAATTTGATACTTTAATTAGCTAATCTGTAATAATCCGAGCTTAGAAATGTGTTTAACTAACTGAAAACAAGATGTTTAAACCATGCATGAAGCTAATTAGCCGGATTACGCTAGAAGGAAAAAAATGAAACACGACTCTGCTTCATGCAAGAACATCCGAGAATGGTTGAACCAAATTATGGAATTGTGAATGATAGTAGTGTTGTCCGAACTTGATTTAAACCAGAGCTGATAGTAATTCCACTAATTAGTCATGCATGTTGGTTTTGAGTACCTAATACAAGGTTTTAGCTGAAGAAAATCCAGATTTGCGTCTAACTTAGCTGCTGGAAATTTTCTGGAATAGCCGAGAGACTTCATGTTTGTTTGCATTTGTAATTGCTGTCAAATGGAAAATCTTGTTATGAATTGCATATAGATTGTTAGCTTTAAGTATTAAGTGAAGCTTAATGGAAGAAAATCTGAGGAAAAGTTGAATTGTGGATTGAAACCGAGGGAAATTTTCTGCTGCAAAATATTCCAGCTTGGTCGAGAGAAGGAAGTGAGCATTTAATTAGTTTTGTTTTCGAATTTCAATTCAGATTTTCGTATTGGATGTTTAAGATTTGCTTGAGGCTTGCTAATCACCTTTTGCATGTTGAGCTGAGGTAAGAATTGAAGAAAACTAGGAACAAAAGCTATATAAATAAACTATCAATTGCTGGAAAATTTTATCTTAGCTGATGACAGATTTATGGGGACTTTTTGGTGGAATAATTTATTGGAATTAAGCGTTATTTGCTTTGGTATATGCTGGTATGAATGTCATACTTAAATGTATGATGGTTTGAATAAGAGTCTTATGGTTTTAAAAGAGAAAAAGGAGTTTTTCACAAGTGAAAATGAGTTTCCAGATTTTCGGATTTCTCTGACCAGTCTCAGTAAAATGCTTATATCTTGGTGTAGGAAAATCCGATTGAGGTGCCGTCAGTGGCATTTGAAACTAGAGTCATGGGCCTTTGTTTTGTAGAAATTTCATATTTTTCCTCCATGTGTACTGCTGTCCGTGATTCCTCAAATTAGGCTGTCCTGTTTGAATGTCCTGTTTCCTCAGGAAACTGAATTCTTGACTTGGATCGAATATTTGGCCTATTTGTGATTTGAATCTCTGAAAAGTGTCTTCTGGGATGTGATAGTATTAAAAATATATTCTACAACAGTATAATTTTCATAATTGTTTGATTTGTGGAACATGAACTAAAGCAATTTTTGAAGGAAAATATTTTCCAGCATGACCGAACTGGTTGGGACTTTTGGTGAGTTTATTTGCTGGATTTGTGTATTATTTACTTTAGCTTGGTTTGGACAGATTATAATCTATATGTATAGTGATTCTAGCAAGTAAAAGTGGAAAGTTTAATGGATAGTTTAGATTCTTGGAATCACTTGGATCTCAAGTTGGTTGTAGTTTTTGTTCTTGTTTTGAATGAACTGGTATTTGAAAGGGTGTATTGGTTGTCAAGAGCTAATGATTGATGGAGCTCTTGACCATTGGAGTATTTTTGCAATAATTTAATTTTTGGTGAAGTTGTTCAAGAGGTTGGTTGAAGTGTATTTGGAAGGTCCATGGGGTATGATTAGGATTGCTTTAGTACCTTGGACTTCCTTTGTTGAATTTTAATTATACTGGATTTGTTGAAATCTAGGGCTAATGATTGACGAAGCCCTAGTGAAATTGATATTTGGTTTGTAATGTTTCTATCTTGGTGACTTGGGAATCCATTGTGCAAATGAGCTGAATTTGTGAAGACCGTTTTGATTATTCTTGATCTTGAATATTTTCAAAATCAAATTTTGTGGAAATATTCTGCCTTAATATCAAGTGATAGAATTGAGTTTAGTATATTATTAAAACTTAGTTATTTGGACTTTTAAAACCTTGCCGACTAGTTAATTCCTTTATTTTGCTTAAGCTAGTTTATTATCTTTAGGGAGTAATCGTATTTAACCTTCTAAATTTTAAGCTTTCCTAAAACTATCCTTGACTAGACGTTTTAAAGGAAATTTGTTAAAAACATTAGATTTGAATAATTTCAAATAAAAGACAAAGAAAACTTGTTTGAATTAATTTGGTTCTAGTTTGCCCTCTAGAAGGGAAATACCTTTAAAGAAACCATACGAGATATTTTATTTCTTTACTAGCCTTAATTCCAAGGGAATGATTGATTTGTTTCGAGAAATTAAATTAGTTTTATACAGGATAACCTTTTATATACAAAACAAGAACTTGTTTAGTAAAACTTATAGTTTTAAAACTTGGATTTCTAGGGTGTAGCGAGGACGTGGACTTCGATTCCCAGCTTGACTTTTGAGCTTCACTTTTGGTGAGTGTCCCTGCCTGTTTTATGACTATTTGGTTAAAGTGCTTTATCGACTCGTTGTGTGATAATTGCCAAAAATGATTGCTGATCCATCGAAGTGAGCAGTGTGAACTTTATCACACTAGCCTTTCGAGTGGTGACTTGCTTGAAGTGTTTTTCGTGAATATCTTGCTTGCGTTTGCTAAGTGATAAATTACTAGGCAGGGGAGTGTACCACACCATAAGGGTGGGAGGGTCTCTTATCCTGTCCTGGTAATCAAGTGCTGGACGTAAAGTCGTTGGGTGAATCCCTCGATCAGTCTATAACAATCAAGTGCTGGACGTAAAGTCGTTGGGTGAATCCCTCGATCAGTCTATAACAATCAAGTGCTGGACGTAAAGTCGTTGGGTGAATCCCTCGATCAGTCTATAACAATCAAGTAAAGTCGGTGGGTGAATCCCTCGACCAGTCTGTAACAATCAAGTGCTGGACGTAAAGTCGTTGGGTAAATCCCTTGACCAGTCTATAAATATAAGTGTTGGACGTAATGTCGTTGGGTGAATCCCTCGACCAGTCTAAGGTATACTTGAATATTATTGCTTCCCTATTTATTTACTTCAGTCGAATCAATACGTGTTAATTGTTTCGAGTGATTGCATGATTTTGGGGCACCACTGAGCTTTAGCTCACCCCATGTTTATTTGTTTTCCTTGATAGGTCTTGAGGTTTGAGAAATCTGAGCTGCTTATATCTTCTTAAGAATGTATCTACTTCGTTTTGTGACTTGTAATGTATTTGAATTAAACGATATAGTTTTGTTTTGGGATTGAAGCTGGAGATGTGTAAACCCTGATTATAATATTTGGCTTGTATGTGTATATATACTCGGGCTGTATGAAATTTCATGTTTTGGAAACTGTAAGACCTTACTTCTTGAATGTAACGCGTGAGGTGTTTAGGAGCCGCCGATTGGCTAACTTCGGTTGCTGTTATCTTTGAAGTTAATGTGTTTTAGTATTCAAGCCGCTTAAAAGTTGGCATGATCGGATGGCGGATTGTGTTTTGGTTTAAGTTATACGTGGATATTTGATCGATTTGCTTGCGTGAGTCCTGCGAGAGCTAGGCAGGCGACCCGCCAACCCTCTGGTTCGCCTTAGGGGGAAGTGGGGTCGTCACACTTTGCACTTACTGAAGACTATGCTTGAGAAGGGCATACCTGTTAGCATAATTGCCATCAATTCGCTCATTTGTGCTTACAGCAGAGCAGGACTGCATGAGAAAGCTTTTGAAGTGTATAACATAATGACAAAATTTGGTCTTACTCCTTCTGCTTCCACATCTACTTCTCT